GCATGCAATAACATAACCTTTGTGTCGCCAAAACAAATATATAATGCGACCGCAGAAATTTCGACTTCCATGTAATATAGAAAGGTAATTATATGAAAAAAATATTTTTTTTAATATATAAAATTCTTAAATTTAATAACAATTTGATTGTATGTAAATATATCAATCAGCAATAACAATTAATGTTATATTCTTTCTTAATATTTTAATTGTTATATAGTTCTAAAAAAAATATTTTTTTTAAAGTAATAAAGATTTCCAATAATATTTATTATAAAATATTTTAGTTTTATACACACAGATAAAAAAGTAGTGATCGTATCTGTGTTTGGAAAATCACAATATTGTGCAAAAGGATGCAAAACCAACATGCTCAGTTCCATTCTACAAGTGGGCCTCCTGGATGAACCAGAAGTGGATAAAGAATCATTTGTAAGAAATATATAAAAATTATAAAAATTATAAAAAATATGTTCAAGAATATATTAAAATTTCTAAAATAAATTATATATTATATATATAATTTATATTATAAATTATATATTATATTATATAAAAATAATGTAAATTATATTACTTCTAGTGTGAAATTGAAGGATATTATGATTCTAAAGATAGAACTATATACTTACATTTAAGAGGATTATTAGATACTCATACTCTTTTAATGGAATATGATAAATTTATAGAACAACAGGATTGTAAAGATTTTCTTAGTGTATGGGCACATATGAGAGATAAATATGCAAGAGCACTACTTGTTTTGTTTCATATATCACATGTTATTATTCTTACTCATCCAACCCATACATTTGATTATAGTTATGTACATTTATTCCGAGCTATGGATATTGTAAGGTATATATTTATTTCTAAAAACATATTATTCTATGATTTCATAAGTAAAATTTTTTATTAATTTTCAGACAGAAAGTTTCACCACAACTTTCTGATGTCTTAAGTTGTATTTATAGTTTACCTAAAGATTGGATATCAAATGTAAGACCTTGTTCTCCACGAGTTTTATTTTATTTTGAAACTTGTCCTACAGTATTTCAAGATCCCACTAGTGGAGCTAATATCAAAAAATTAGAACATTCTTTGGAAGATCAAATATATCAAGTATTGAGAAAAAACCGTATAGTAACTAATATTAGGTACTAAAATTCAGAATAGAAATTTTTAAATTATTTAATTTGATATAAAAAATATGTAAATTAATTTTCAGTTCGAATTCGTTGTTTGCAATTCCTGCAAACCAAGAATTTGTTTATGTACACACGGGTACAACTGAATCCAAAGATATTTTGGGTTATATGGCAAAAAAACTCATACAAAGTTGCAAAGTTAGTTCTGGAGGAAGTACTTCTAGAAGCTTAGCAAGTCAAGATTCCAATATTCAAATAGATAATACAGATCCTGGTGTGTAAATCATTAAATTAAAACTATTATCTGTATATAATTATTATATATATATATATGTATATTAAAATAAAAATAACTTATATCTTTGCAGAAATTCGTTCCTTTAGATCATTTCTACAACAGCACATAAACTTAGCTTTTGCGAGAGGTTTCGACGATAATGTTGGAAGACATTCTATACCTGCCTATTTTGAGGTGAGATTCACAATAAAAAAAATTTAACATTTAACTAATAATTTAATTTCTTTAATTAGATACCTAATGTTACAATATTCTGCGAAGTAGCGAACAAAATATACGATTATTTCATTCATGGAACAGATAAAGAATTACTAACTTTGCATAGCTTATTAGATACTGATGTAAAATTCAGTAAAAGCAGATGTAGTAAAGTACTTCCACGAGCTCTTCAGACTTATCAAGAAAATCTACCCCAGCATTATACAAGGTATAAACTGAAATTAATTGAGTTTCAACATGTGATACAAAAAATTTACATAAAGTAATTCTATTGATATTTACATCAGAGCATATCATGAGACAAAACTAGCTCATGCAATGGCAGTTTTTGAGATGCATGCAAGAGGTCCTCTATTTGAAGAGTTCAGTGAAAAATTACAAACAGAATGCGAAAAACATTGGAGGTCTGGTAGGCAAATGTGTGAGGTGTTGTCTTTAACAGGGAATCCTTGTACAAATCCAATACATAGAGGTGGAAGTGAAGGTGCTGGTGGAGGGGAACAGGCGGAACAAAGGGATAATGATAAGTACATATTACTTGAAAAGTATTATTTTCCATTACACGTATTATCTAATTCTAATGTGAAATTTTTTTACTTTATAGTGATTTACCAATCAGAGAACATTGCAGTGGCGTTCGATATATTTGTGCTTGTAATTGTGGTCGTTGTCAAGGTTCAAGAGAAGATCCATTTAGTTTAAGACAAGCCAATTATGATTATTTTCAAATATTAGCTAAACAATGTGGCTGTGCACAATTGGAGAACATACAATTTCCGGTTTTCCAACCAAGCACACATAATTACAGGTAAAATATTATTTTTTATATTTTTAAAGATTAGAGTAATGGTTTTTAATTTTTAAAAATCTTTATTACAGACCAGCACAATTGTTTTCTACTAAACGAAAAGATTCTTTTAGTCACGGAGAGTCGCCTCAAGGGAATACTCAGGCTTGTAGTTTAGGAGTTAATACTTTAAATGGTACTTTTATTGTCACTGTATTATCATCTTTTAAATTTGAGAGAAATTTTTTTATATTTTTTCAGATGATATTCGAACACCATATGGAAGTGGAGGTCAATCACCTCCAACAAGCGAAACTAACGAAGATGTTCCTAAACTTAGTAATAAAACTAGTTTAACACCTAGCGATGCGCATAAAGTTGTCATCGAAGTATCTGATAGTGATGCAGAAAATGCAAAAGGTAATTTTAACATAAGATTAATTATAATATCGTATGTTGAAAACAAATTTCAATAATTTTAAATTCTGTAGAGAAATCTCTGGTCAGGCAACCTTCAACAACGGAATATCTACCAGGAATGTTGCATACAGAATCACCAGCTGGTTTATTGCCACAATTTTCCAGTTGGTCTTTAGTTTGTCTTGGTCCAAGTAGTTTATATTCTCACAATTTGGGTTTACAACATCAAGCTGGTGTTTTATCTACTTCTGCCTTTCTTTTACCTTGGGATGTTACAGTAAGGTAATTGAGTTTAAAACAATTTAGTTTTAATTACTTTATCAAATTCTTTCTCATAGACTAGAACATCAGAAAGAGAGAGGTTCTCTGTGGCCGACTATAAGTGATCATGGATCTCATGGCTATTGTCCCAGAGGAAAGAATTTTCAGAATATGAATACTATACGTGGTCGAAAATCAAAGGGTGGAAAAGAATTTGTAGTGAAAATATTTGTAGGAGTAGAATACGAATGTCCGCGAGGACATAGATTCATGGCATCCGCGCCAGATAAGGTTTTGAAAGCTACCGGAAATGGAATTGTAAAAGATAGTGGAAATAAAGTTACATCTAGTACTGCGGATATGCCACTTTATTTTCCATGTCCTTGCAGGTATGTGAACATTAAAAATTTAATGTTGAATATTTGAATATTTAGAAGTAAAATTAATATGGAATTAAATTTTATTTTAGACAAACAAAACCTTTAATTGCTCAATTAATGAGAATTCATGTGGTAACACCAAAAGCACCTGTTCATGTTACATTAAATCCTAGAGTACAACCTGGACCCCCACCTTGTCCAATTTTTATTACTGGTTGTGACGAACCAATAAAATTATCGCAAAGTGCCTATTGGGTCTTAAGATTACCGTATCCTTTTAAAATTAATATTTATATAATTTACTATACTTATGAATATTTAAAAAATAAAAATTATATATATTTGAATTTAAAAATTTCTTTTAAAATTAAAATTTAAAATATAAAATTTATAATACAATTTATAAAAAAATCAATATCAAAAATTCTTAATAAGAATTTAGATATGTATATATGGATGAGAAGGGACCATATTTAGCGCCAAAAGAACCCGTTCCAACATCACATGGAAGATTATTAGCGGGAATGTACGGAATTAGTGAAGTACTTCCAGAAAAGAAATAAAACAGTATTCAATTTTTTATTAAAAAGCAATTTATATGTAAATTATATCTTGTAAATATATAAAAATGAAAAAAGTACATATTATTTATAATTTATATAATCCCAATTTATACAATAAAATTTAAAATTTTTTTTACATATTCAATTTTTTTAAAATAATATGAATCATGAGAATAAAGTAGTAATTAATTTGAAAATAATCATTAAAATGAACAAAGATAATTCGTAAATGGTTTAATTTCTATATTTACCAAATATAGTGTGTAGAAAATTTACACACAAAAATGTATATTTTAATTTGTTTTATATTTTTGGAAATTATAAAAAATTCATTATTTTTTCTCTTTTGTTTGATAATATTAATCAATTTTTAAACTTGGTTACATATATTTATAAAATATACTATTTTATGCACGCAAATTATTTATTAAATTATTAATCTCTATTAAAATTTATATTTCTTACTTATTAAGGAAGAGTACAATATATTTAGAAGTTCTCACTACACACTTTGAACACTATTTTCAACACAAATTTTTAAAAAATATTATTTTTAAACAAATTCATATAAAAACATTCGCGCTACTGAATTTATGACACAGACTTCTGCGCAAGTGGTTCATTAACTGAAAAGCATTTTGATTGGTTCATTTAAAGAATTACCCAAAGAAGTAACGAAAAGAAGACTTCTGATAGGTGCGTTTCAATTATATTCTCTAAAAAATTTAAATCATTTAAACTCATATTTATTTTATGAAATTTATTATTAGAATTAAAAGATTTGATATAAATTTGTAAAAAAATTATTTAAATCATAAATATAAATTAAAATAAATTTATTATTGTTCATATTAAAATAATATTGATGAAAATTTGAAAAATTTTAAATAAAATTTCTTTTTCGAATTTTTCCGCCATTGCGTTGCAGCGCTATGACCGTTATGAAATGCTATTGTCTGTGAGATAAAATAAACACTTGTCACGAAATCTTATTCTGTGGAATGGTTATTTTTGTTCATCATCTACTAATAATGTAAAGTTTATGATGTTATTAATAAAATTTTCTATGCTATAAAAATATCTCATTGTCATTGACCAGTGAAAGTGATTTTACTGTAAATAACTTTCTTTTATAAGATCTAATTTTTTTTACAACGTATTATAAAAAAATTGATTATACAGTCTTATTAAATTTTTACTTATTAATCAATTTTTATTCAATTCATCATTAAATTATTTAACATTTAAAAGGTGATTTTTTTAAATTTTAAACAATTTAAATTTGATTTCATTCAAGGTAATTAAATAATATAAATCGTTTTATTTTTTTATTATATTTTTAGAAAAGCTGATATAAAATGGCACAGACATACTGTTTATTAATTTATTGCATTATATCATTATTTTATCAAAGTGGTTATGCCTCAATATTCGGATGGTTTTGGAATAAAGGTTCAGATGAAACTACTCTGGTAGCTGATGGTATTCCATTACTTTCAATACCATATGAATCTATGACTGAGGATGAAAAATTCCTTCAGGAAGCTGCAAAATTTACAGAGATTCAAGTATCATCACCTTTAGAAACTTGCCAACACAAAGTCATTATGAAAATAAAAACCTCATGTTCTGAAATGACAGAAGAACAACTTGCCAAATTGAGTGTTAATCTTTTAAATTGTCAATCTACAGTAGAAGGCAGAAAAATATTTCCATGTACTGATGAAATGGTAAAATTTAATTATTTTTTTGCAATAAATTTCCAAGTTTTTATATTAATATTATATATATTAATATTATTTTATATTAATTATATTATACATTTCAAACATTTTTATATATTATAATTTTAAAAATTCCAATTGTTTTATAATTTATAATTTTAAATTTTTATTTTGTTAATTTTTAATATATTGTACTATAAAAGGTTATCAAACTTTAAATGATATATAAATATCCAAATATACACTATGCTTTAATGCATTGTATATGAAATCACATATGGAAGGGTAGTTTGAAGCATGTTCAGACCTGCAACTTCCCCCACTTATACAGCATATAGACCACCACTGAGATTTCTAGTTTAGTCTCATAATGTAAAATATCTTCTCAGAAACATGAAGTGATCAATTGAATATTATTATATATTTTTAAAAAATTAATATTTCAATAAAAGATTTTTTAATATAGAAATATAAAACAATAAAAAATATTAGAGAAATATTTGTGAAAAATTTTAAAATGAGTGTATTTATATTTTTTATAGTCTCTAAAACAATGTACCACAGATATGGATTCAGATATGTGGAATGCATATCATTTAATGAGTAACAGAGCTAGAGCAGTTTGTTATGCAGCACGTAGTGCTCAGTTCCGTGCTCTTTCAGAATTGACTGTGAACAAATTAATGCAAACTGCTCATACACAAATCAAAACATTGAGTTCTTTGAAGGTAAAATGAATTATATTATTTTCATTATATATTATTTTATTATTTGATATTTTGCTATTGTTTTATATATTAATTCAGGAAAGTCAGGATCGTTTAGAAGAGCAAACTATAGAAGCCTTAGAATCATTGTCAAAAGGCAATAAAGCATTATTAGAACAACAAAAGTATTTAAAAGATGCACAAGCATCTGCTCATAATCTTGTGACAACAAATCTAAGAGAATTGAATAACGAAAAAGCTTTGATTCGATCTGGTCACACACAACTTGCAACAATGGCCAATGATATCAGGAAAAAATTAGGTAATTAATTTAATGAATGGGGATAGAAAATATTTGTGATTATTGATTATTTTATTAACTAAATTTTTTAGAGGAAGCAAATAAAAATTTAGAGGAACAAGCTATCGAACGTGGTCAAAATCATAAGGAAATACTTCAGGATTTAATGAATATTCAAGAACAAGCACACTTGATTTGGGATAAAATAGAATCTAGCACAAATCGAATTTTTACACAACATGAAGAAGTACTTGTCCAATATGAACAAACTTTGCAAAAATTAAATCAAATTAATAATACTATTCAATATATTTGGGATATAACAAACAATATGCGTGCAGAAATGGATGAAAAACTTAATTGGTTGACTAAATATATAGGTGACAGTGGTAATATTTTTTTCCAATTATAAATTGAAAAAAATGTATGATGTTGATAAAAAAAACTAAATAATTTTCTTAATTTTCAGGAGAACAAATGCATCGAATATATCGTGTAGGTTTACACATTATTTATTTATTATTTGCTATGGTGATTGCTGCATTTCTTCATGCACCATTATTAACTAGAATTACTATTATGGGGATTGTACCATTAAATTTGTTATCTTTTTTAAAACATGGCATGGATGCTTGTTTGGATTTTGTATCAATGAGTGTATTGATATTCTTAATTACGATGAGTATGTATTATGCAGAAAAAATATATATAAATTCACTGAATACTTTAAAGTCTTATTTTATTACTATTATTTTTAATTTTTAGTGCACTTTATGATGGTTGGAATTCAACGTATATGTGGTCCAAAAAATATAAAAAGAAGATCAGAATCAATTCAAGTAATTAATCAAAATGATCATGTAAATGGTATAACGCGAGAATATGTTTCTTCTTATTCTAATCCCCAATCATCACATACTCCTTCAATATCTTTCTACACAAATCTAAAAAAAAATACTTGGAAATTTTATATTTTTATGCGCTACCAAATAAATCGTTGTATTGGTAAGTTAAAAAAATTATCTATAATATAATTTTTTATATAATAATTAAAATTAATTATAATTTTCAGAAAAATTTAGTTCGCTGGTGCAGGCAGTAGCTTCATGGAGCAAACCAGGTTTTGTGCAAAGCGAGGAATTATCTTGTTCGTATATATCCTCAAGAAAAAATCGAGAAGATCTTATTCACAATTACGAACAAGAATATCCTAGTATGTCTGAAGATGTCACTGATTATGAAAATTCGAATTTGATAGACGAAAGAAATAGAAGCGTTGATGATTACGAAAATTTAATCGATGCTAATGATCTTAGGCAAAGATTAAGAAAATTGGAAAGTCTTACTAACAGATCTTCTTATTCTCGTCAACAGTCGCCTTCCAGAAGGTATGTGAATTTTAATATATATAATAATTAATTTTATTAAAGAATTCAATGATTATTTCCTTATTTTGTTTTAGTGTTACTCCATCATATACTTCGAGGATATGTAATGCTACAACAAGAAGTGGCAAAAGATGTCGGTTATATGCAATAAATGGACAAATGTATTGTAACAGACATTCTCTTGGAAGCTCAATTATGGGTGATTGAAAAATTTTTTAATAATTATAAAATAAAATAACAAGAAAGGAATTTATTTTAGTATGTGGTAGTTAAAATATTTAATCTTATATAGTGGTGATGGATATTTACAAATTTATCTTATATATTTAAAAATTATGTAGTAGATATTTAAAAATTGTGCAGTGAATATTTAAAAGTTTATCTTTTATGTATCTCATTATATTTTACAAAAAACTAATTTCATAAGAAAAAAAATTACAAATTCATTCTAATAATTTCATTTCTTAAAAACATTTATGTATATTACAGATTTCTCATTCTATACATAATGCGAAATTTTATTTTTTAAATTTCTTAAATATCTAAATCTTTTCCTTTCTTGTAATTAGAAATATTTTTCTATTAAAAATTGATTTGATTCTGTTTGAAACAAAGCACAATATTGTTAGATAATTAAATTAAAAAGTTAAGAGATTGCTCTATCAATTATAAGTCCTATTGAATACTATAAATGACTTATATAGTGCCTTGAAATATTTATGATGATTTTTGCTCTCTAACAAATATTGTAATTTGTACAAAGTAAATAATATTGTATATATTTAAATTTTGTATACTTAATACTTATTTTAAATACTTATTAGACTCAATAAGAATTTTATAATATATAGTAAGTATTAATATGTGATGGTATTTTCTGATATATTTTGTATTCATTGTCACAGATTGTTAAGAAAAACATACATTTTGTAAGTTCATTATTTAATTATAATTTATTTTTGTAAATCCTCATATTATGATTATTAATAATAATAAAAATATTACAACCTATTTGCAATTTTATTTAAAATTGTTAACAAATATAAATAAATTAAAATGTTTTATAAATAATAAAGAAAAATCAAAATAATTTTTTTAATTACAAACCGCCATATTGTATTGCGTGCAAACTGTATTGCTTGTCAGTTCCAAAAACTTTAAACTTTTATCAAAACCAATTCCAGTTATTAAATTATGTAAATTACAGTAATTTGTACCATAATCAAATACTCTAAACCATTCATTTGATGTGGATTCTCCCTAGTAGTAAAAAAATACTTTAATAAGAAATTATTATTTACTCATTAAAAAGTTAGACATACCGTTGCTATACAAGTTTTATTAATTTGTTCGAAATCGATTTTCATCGTTTCCGTAGTTCTTAAATTTGAAGCAAGATGTGTAGCTCTAATTATATTACTTTCATTTGGATTTGGTTCTTTGAGCTAGAGAATGAAAATTAAATAGTTAAAAAATTTTTTTAAAATAAAGTATTAAAGAAAACAAATTATTAATTTAAAAAAATATTGAATATAATAAAAAAAACACTAAAATTATTCAAAATTTTGTTTCATAAATTAGAATTGTTTTTTTTTTTACCGTGTACAAACATTTGCTACCACGTGGTCCACAATTCATGCAGGATGACCAATTAAGTATTTGAGACCGAAATTTCTGCATGACATATATGCAAGGATCTTCAAACTTCCTATCATAAAAAAGAAAATAAGTTACAATACATATTTTCTTAATATAAAAAATGATAAAAAATTATTAGGAATCGTGGAGAAATTCTCACGATTGTCTATGGAAATAGGGATAAGATATATTTAATTCCAAATTAACTGTTTTATTCATGAAAATTTATTATCGTCTTTTGGCAGCATGGAAGTTCAAAGGGGAGAACCGAAATAACACAAGCGACGTTCTCATATGCTTGAAAAGTGTGGCTCGTATATTTTTCAAGCGGTGTCGTCTAGCCAAAGAAAAATATACGAGCCTCACTATTGCTGGTCAATACATATTGAATTTCTCTTTGCACAAAATTGTTTGCAAAATAGATCTTATCTTAAAATATTTTTTCTAAGTTTTTAAAAATAACCAAATTTAAGAATATAAATGATAAAATGTTAATCAATCATAAAAATTAATTAAAATGAAAAAAAAGTTCATAAAAAATAAAATAAAATCACAATAATATCACAATAATATTTTAAATAAAAATTATTAATAATGAATATGAATATGAATATATGAATAATAAAAATCAAAATACCATTTTATAATGCAAGAAGCATGCATAGGATAAGGGAACACCAGGAAAATCCAAATAATACATATGAAGAATATCAGGAGCGCACAAATGGAATAGATAAATAATTTACATCTTGAAAATTTCGTACATTCATCTTTAACTATTACTGGTGGTGAATCATCTTGTTCTTCGAATTTGACCTTTCTTAAACCTTAAATTTCAATATTAATGCAGATGCAAAAAAAATACTTGAAGAACATTGTGAAATGTTGTAAAAATAAATAATTTGAAATATATTATAAAGGACATATCTCTGAAATAAATTGTAAAAAAGAATATTATGAAGTATATTGTAGAGAACCATTCTGTTTTTTCGTCGTGGAGATATTTTGCGAGTTCATAAACCTATGTCTATCGACATGTGTATAAGGTGGTGGTCGTTTCGACATTGACCTGAGCTCCATGTATATTTTTTATACGGCGTTCCAACCTGACGCTTCTCTTCGATCTGGCTTTACAAATCGATCATCTTTCAACAGAAAAAAGAAAAACAATGGACTGATGATCCCTGAAATCTGTTAAGAAAAATGATAATATGAACGATTGTCCATTCTTTTAATTTTACCATAACTTTATTTCTATAATTAATAAAATATATTATTTGGATAGTAATTCGTTTTTTTTCATGACAAAACCCAATTATAATATAAAAATTATAAATATAAATTTTAATTTAAATATTATATATTATGTATATATGAACTTTAATTTAAATATTAATTTTAATATTAAGAATATTTCTTTTATAGATCTTCATAAAAAATAATTTTATCATAAAAATGAAAAAAAACGAAATATAATTAAAAATTATTAATATTCTTATATTTTATTTAAAAAATTAAAAAAATCGATCAACTAATCTGCATTCGTTCACGTTTTTTGAAAAAATTTCTCACGATCAAATTATTTTTTTCGATTCTTTTTATCATGTTCATTCGATATCCCTAATGAATATTATCTGAATATTATTAAAATACGAACCATGAAATGTATTTGATCCAGTTACTTCCTTTTCTTCTCTTACTCAATTTTATATTCAATAATCAACTTTGCAATTTATATAATCAATTATATAATCAAAAGTATTTTTTTATAAAATTTAACTAATAAATTTAATAAATTTTAATCAATATTTACTTATAACTATATTACTATTTACTTATAAGTACAATACAATAAAATATTCCATTTGTTAAAAAAGAGATTGAATAATTAAAATATTTTTATTTTTACTATTTTATTTTATTAATTCTTTTCATGTTCAAACATTTTATTTTATCTTAAAATTTTCTTTGAGAGTATAAAAGAAAAAATAATATTTAGAGCGACATCTGACAATATAACATGCTTTGATGTTCCCTAATACCAGTATATATTCATTTCTTTGAATCGAATACTGTCAAGGAATCTCATCAGTTTCGATTCGAATTAGTGAATATTGACCAAAATATAATATAATGTTTGAATGTGAACGTTAATAAAATAAAGGAAACTTAACAATCGAACGAATGATTCCACATACAAAAGAAAAATCTTATTAGAATTTAGATTAGAATTTAAATCAAATAATGAAATTTTTAAGTATAAATATTTGTAAGTGCAAATAGAATATCAATTAATTATGACATTTTGACACTTTTGATTGTAAATGTTATATGTTATATTATTTATTTATTTAATCATTTATTTTTATCTAATCACATGTTTATCATTCAATCGAAATAATTTTCATATAATTCAAAAAACCAAAATGTTTCAATCGATAAGAATAATCAAAGAATAAAAAGTATAAGATTATTTTGATTTTTAAATGAAATTTGATATATATCGCAAGGTGAAGAAACTTGTCTGTACGAGTCTGAACAGTGAAAAATGACAGATCAACGAGCCATAGTGTGATTTATAGTTGATTGTTTGAGAATATAGAAGAGAAGCAGAAGAAAAGATAAGCGACTTCTGCGAATGTGGGTCAGTAGAGAGGAATGAATGCTCACAGTGTTTTCCTGTTTACTGACTTCTACTAACACTGTCCCCATGTGAATGTATTGCAAATTGAACGTCCTTGATAAGTGCTCTTCTGCAAAAAAGTCTTCGTATGTGATGACTGCTTCACACTTCTTCTGAAAATCAAATTTATTTCAGTATTCATTTTATTATTTATTCTACTATTATCTTTATAATAATGAATAATTAAATTGTCTTATTACTTCATAAATCTTCCCATCAAATTTTCCCAAATTTTATTCTTTCTTTGATACTTCAGTAAAATATAATTTTCAGAAAGCCCCTATAAAAATGTAAAAAGAAGAAAGAAAAAGAGAATAAGCGAGGAGAGTCGTGTGAACCGGATCTTACAGTGGTGGCAGCTGTCGAGGGGACACGTCGACAACTTCTCCCCTCTTAGAAAGCTTGCATAAAAAGAACTTTACTGTGGGTTAGAATATAGGCAAAGTGAAATGGAAGTATACCGAGACAAAAATTAATAGAATCTTTTGATCACGATACCTGTAATTAGATGTTGTGTAAATGAATACAATTTTCCTTTGATGATTACTGATTGCCGATGAAGGAAAATTGAAATAGAAAGATAGGAAAAGAAGGTTCTTACTTTCTTACCGGTTCTCCCGAGAAATGTATAATTCGAACCGCCTGTCGGCAACTAATTTCCTGTTTCGAGGGCGGGACTACAGAAACGGCTTTCTGTCAAAGATCTGACCGACTATATTCGTTATATATATAATTGAAATCTATTTCTCAATATAGTCATTAAAAAATCTATTATTAAAAAAAGAACTCAGGAAGTATCCAAATTTTTGTTACACAATGAGTTTCTCAATTAAATAATGATTCTTAAAAAAAAAAAAAAAGAAAATCAGAAAACTTCTTTGTCCACTTTGATTAATTCGAGCTCGTTTCGATAAAACCAATTTTTTTTAAAGGAAACAGCTGTCCAACAAAAGTAACAACCTTCTCGAGAGATAGCGTAATGGGTCCACTTCTCTATCAAAACCGGAGGATTCACCTCTTCGATTCCCCAGACGCTCTGACATCAACATCTGCACAGAAAAGATTTCAAAGCTTCATCCAATACTGAAAGCAACTCACGAATATCATCTTCAAAGCACTTCACACTTTTTTCTTCAATTTAAACTTGTCAGCATATCTTAACCCAAAATAAGAAACGTCATTTCTAAAGTTAATCTTAGATATTTCTTTTCTTTTTTTTTTTTTTATAAAAGAAAAAAAATTGTTTCTTCTTTAATATAATTTTTTAACATATCTGAAAACTGAAAAGTAAAAGAGACAGGTAGAATGAAAAGTTGAAGATCAAAATTAAGATTATGAGTAATGTTTCTTATTTTATTTAGGAAAGTTTCATAAATCGATCAAAGAGATATTTCTGATAGTAAAACGATAAATAAAAAAGAAGAGGAATTAATTCCATGGATACCTTATCGATGTCTTCTTTTCATCGAATCACAGACTAACCCTATTTTCGACTCGACTCTCCACTATTTGCGCATATAAATATTTTACGAGGGCCAGGAAAAAAACTCTATTTTCGTGCGAGCAAACCCTATCGCCATCGTTCATAAGGAGAGATTTACGACGAACGGAAAGTGATTATTATCTTCAGTCAGCTACCTCCTTCTCGACAATGAAATGTATTTTTATCATTTAAAAACAATTTCTTCCAATATTTTTCAACTTAGAATATTTTACAGAATTTATATTTCTTAAAATAAAATTTATATATAAAATTATATGTAAATTATATGTATATATATATATAAAACTAACTTCCCTGTATGAGAGATGAAGAAACGTACGGATTCGTTATAGCATTGAAAAAACTCTAGCATTGAAATACCTATTCTTCTGAAAATAAAATATAATTAATCGTTAAGAAGAAATTAGAGAACGGTGTTGGTGTGGTAACATGTTTCGAATCTCAAAGGCAATAATTCTTTTTAATAGTAGGGTAAATGAATCACAAAACAGTAAAAATAGCAGAAACGCGTCGAATTATATTGCACCAAAGTGTACCAAATAAATGTCTTCACGAATTAAGAACCGCTACAAGCGTTCAAACCTCTATAATAACAATTTACGCGCTGTTCCTTCATTTTTCAAGTGATACACCATGATACAGCGTTTCTCAATGATTTCATTCAATAATTGATTTTTTTTTTTTTATATAAAAAGCTAATCATCTAATTTATCATATTTCTAAATTTTTTAAAACGATTAGTTTTAAAAAATTTTAACGAGAATTCTCAAGCAAGAATATTAGACGCTCACATTCTATAATTGCTATTAAAAAAACAATCAAATAATAATTAACTATAAGCCAATGAAATTGAAATAGCATGTTAATTCAAATTTTTCCTTATTTTCATAAATTATTAAATTGTCATTATTGAAAAAATTACAAGAAGATTATGAATCAATTTTTCCATAAAATTTTAAAGCTTGAGAAACACTGGAGTTCCAGTGCATCTCGTCTGTTGTCAATGTTCCGGGGTTCCTGGAAAGAATTACAGGATTTATACCCACTAGTCGAAAGTATCCCTGCTAATTATCTTGGGGACGAAGATTTATGGAATTTTTCATGGCAAACCGCGAAGGAATAATTAAAATAGATCGGAACGTGGAAACAGTAAATTGTAAGGGCCGCCGCCCCCACCAATGGATGGAATTTACTCAGGCGATACCACGGAATCACGGATCTCACAATACCGGTGCAGTACAGGCGCCAAGGAAAACTCGTTCGTTTTCGTACAGAGCAAAAAGACACCAGAAATTATTCCGGTGAAGTATATAGTGCCGTGTAAACACATTTGCAAAAGCAAATGGAAGCTCCATCGCGGTCTGCCGTTTATTTCAGAACAGTGGAAAGATTTCTGATAGGGAAAATGATTGATCTAGTTGAAACCTGAAAAAGAAAGAAAAAATAATTCGTTTAGAAAGAAATTATTATAAATAAATAAACCAGAACAAATGCACATTGTTTTCAATTTTAAAATCTAACATTATTCAAAAACGTGAATCAATTGCTTCATTCTTTTAATTAGAATCGAGACCAGGTCGTCACTAAGTTTGAATAAGATAAATTAAGGAGGAGCGGAGCATGAGAACCCAAATAATTTACGATTGGTGTCGCGGGGGCGTTAGACACCCCTTAGGAATTCTATGGGCTACCCTTACCGGAAGCACGGTGTGAAACCGAAGGCGTCTGCGCCTTGATGCTGCCATTCGAAAGCGCCGCCCCTCAGCGACTGCGTGTCGTCGGTTTAATGAAAAGAAAGCGGAGAAGGGCAACTCTGATGTCGGTTTCCCCATTGAAACGGAAAGGGTGGTTATCTTCCCTCTCTCGTTGATTCGATGTTATGGTGTTTTATGCAACATCCAAAATGGAAACTCCATTCCTAGAATGGTTACGATCCTAATTTAAAGATTAAAAAAGAAAATTAGAATCAATTCCATCAAAGAAGCCGCTTTTAGTTGTGGAAAAAAAAAAAAAAAAGAAATAACATGGATTCTAAAAGCATTACATAAAAAATAGTTTCCCTTGACCAAAGTAGGATAACTTACTATGCAAGTCAAAGGGGTTAGTCTTTCAGAATCATGGCTCCTTTTTATTTGGACACCGAAAATGGCCTCCGCGAGGAGTTTTCTCGAGATATAAATTAACAGGCTAGGAAAAACACAGGGCGAGAGTCATTCAAAGCTGATATATGAACACGTGATTCATTAACAGTCACTGATGAAGTATGTGTTAATGAAGAGAATACTCTTCTTCGTCGTCGTTCCATCATCCCTAGGTTTAAACTATGTTTTCTCTATGAAACCACGTGGTTCGAGCGTTATTTTCGAAAAAGAACGTTAGGGTGATGTTAGTTAATCCTTCCAATGTGAACTATTATCATATGTTTTCTTTTTAACAGCAAAAATATGAAATATTTAAATTAGATTCTAAAATTATTCTATTTACTTATTTTGTATTCTATTTACTTATTTAATCATTACTTTTATTTCATCAATACTTATTTATATTTATTCATATTACATTTTCATTAGTTTCTTTTTTTTAAATAGTTAATAATGTTTAATAAAAAAAAACAAAAATTGAAAACTAATCTTTATAAAATATAAAATGAAAGTTTGAATGGTGAGACCATTCATTAAGGCCATATTCTTTCTGAAGAGTCCTCACCAAGTTTGTGATAAAGAAGGATCCTTCTTGGAAGGTTCATTGAAGAAATTTTAGTAATGTCTTCACCTCATCCACGAAGAGAAAAAGAGAGAAGAAAATATATTAAAATATATTTACATAAAAAATATTTTTCTAAAAATTCTTCACTATTGTTAAAATTCAAAAAAAAAAATTAGTATTATATATTCTTCTCTAATTTTTAATAGATATTAATAAAAAAAACTACTACATAGTATATAGTAATATATACAATATAAGAACATTATGAACTATACTAAAATACTATAATACTAATATTAAAATAACGCTAATTTTATTTTACAAGATAAAAAAGAAAATTAATCAAGTATTGAATTAAAAAATTTCTAACAATTACTCACTGTTATTCAGGTATTATTCAGCTAGATGAAGTGAAGAAAGATTAGAAAACATCAGAGATTCGAGGATTTTCTAGTCGTCGATGTCGTCAGAGGGTCAAAAACGAGGGGAGACACGGCCGATTATGAAAAGTTTTTGTCGCGCTGGCGCCAGCGAGTCGAACGCAACGTACTTTCCTTCCTTCCCGCCAGGCTTTGAATAGCTAAAATCATCCCGTGTGCCAATTTCAAAGTAGCGGCTCCGTTTAACTTCACGGGAAGAAAAGGAAGAAAAAAAAAGAAGCGATCGTCTCTTGTTACACATCCGTGACATGGTGCATTTAGCATGACTGCAGTCGAACACAATGACCTGCGAATGTAACATGTTGTTCGTTTGAAGTCAGATTAATGGTTTTTATTCTTTTTTTTTTTTTTTTTTAGAATCATTTAGAAAATGAAGAATTAAATATATAAAAAAATATTAATATCAAAGAAATATAAAAAATAGAACAAAATATGCTTCATAAAAATAAAATATGTATATTTCTAATATAAAAAAATAATAACTTAAATACTCTAAATTCTTCATTTCTTTATTATAAAAAGATTGTATTATTTAATATATTAAAGAAGAATGTTAAGAAAAAAAGAGATGCAGAGCAATAGAAAAGATTCATTTTGAAAAAATAGCGCCATTAAAACTGGGTGGAGCTCACCTGCCTTTTACCTGTCCTGTATCTTCCAATCAGAGACTGGAGTATCTATCTTATTCCACTGTTGGTGAGGATCAAACAAAAGGGGATCCAATCCAATGTAAAATATGGCGTTATCCACCATTTAAATCTTTTAGATTTCTATTTTAGATCTCTATCTATTATTATTATTTAATATTTAGTTACTGATAAAATTGCAATATCTATCGAATTATATTTATCTGTATAAATGAAATTATTATTAATACCTATGTTATGTAACTAATATCTTAATATCATAAACATTGTTATTTTTAATATTTTTAAATTTGAAAAGTAATTGTACGAACTGAATTAAGTGTAAATAAACTAATGTGAGCGTATTAAATATATAAAAATGAATGCAAATATCTTCCTTTTTTTTCAAGGATCGTGTCAATATCTATAACATTTCGATGCCTTTTTATAATATCTATTTAAGTTATTAAATTCATTTTATGTCTATTCATCAATAACTGCATTCTAAAAAATTAATATTTTTTTCAATTTTTACAAATTGTACTAGTTGATAACATATATAGAATCTGCTGAAATAATAACGATGAATCTATCATCAGTATGATTTCAGTGGTTCGTAGTAACCATGGGGTTCCATGCACAAGAAAAAATAAAAAAGGGCACGCTTCCTCTGAGTCGGGAAGTGTCGCGTGTCCTGATGGCTCTCTCCTTCCAAGAACTAGGATCGTTTAGATTTGACCTCTTAGACTGTGCCTTAGAATCTCCTGAACGAATTCACCAGACCCTGCAAAATTTCCATGGCAATTAGTGAACTTGACTCGACATCCTATCATTAGTTTCAACTTTCAACTATTTTTTTCTTTTTTTTTTCTTGACTACTGTTATTTTTTTTTCTTTTTATTTTATATTCAGTGTATTTTTACCATAGAATGTTATCTATTTTTATTATTTATTTATTTTAAATTTATTATATATTATTTATGAATATTGTTAAATATTTATTAATTATTTGAAATCGAAAATAGAATATTATAATAAAAAAAATATTAAAATAAATATAAAAAATAAAAAAAATTTATTATTTTTTGTTGAAATCATAAATTTGTATAGAATTTGATATTGTTATTGTAGAAATAATTTAATATTTCGGAATAGTTTAAATTCATTAATTAATGATTCAATAATTAATTTTAGAATTTAAATACAATGTTTGTACAAAATTGGTTTTGAAATATATAATTAAATATATAAACTTTTTTATAAAAATTTTTTATAAAAAAAAAAATTAAAATATTAGAAAATACTTTACCAGTATTCTCCAATTTCATTTTTGACAGTGAAGAGGAGAAATGACAATGGATCGTCGGGAGTGGTAAGAGAAACGAAAGGAATGTCCGTGGAACCCCCACTGAGGAATCCAGAGGCCCATCCATGCCATGACGATCCGTGAGGCCCTTTTTTTCTAATTCACGATCTCAGCATCAGGGTCCACGTTATTCACGTGGGTCTAATACCCCCTCGAAGACGTTAATTCGAGAAATTCAATCCAGACTTCTCATTTGTCACCTCTCTTTTCTTCTGATTAAAAAAAAAAATATATGTATTAGTTAAGAAAAATACAAATTTCAAGAAATTATATTAAATCTTTATTTAATTATTATTCTAATTAATAATTAAATAATAAGTATTAATATTTATGTTTAATAATACTAATTTTAAATTTTAATTCTTTTTTACTATACTACTTTCTTACTGTATTAATTCTTTCTTACTAAATTAGTTTCTTAAAAAATACTTTCTAATTAAATAATAAAAATTATTTTAACAATATTAGAATTAAGAATTAATTTTTAATACATTTATAATAAAGAAAATTGTAAATTATTGGAAAATAAAAATTACAATAACATTAATAGAAAGGATTCAAAGAGCAGAAAAGCGAAGGTCAAACAACCACTTGGACAACCTGATGGTGAACACGTGTGTTTGAAGTAGAAGTATTTCTGAAATGCGTACAGAATCCGCACATGCATACTAAGTAACCGTAACAAAAATGTGGAGACAATAAGTCTAAGAACATTTTGACAGGTTTTGTTGCTTTTTGGCTCTCGCCATTTTTTCACTTCCGGACTTCTTGTGAATGAATGTTCAACCCGTATTTTTTTTTTTACTGTCATTAGAAAAAAAAAAAAATAAGATAAAGTTATATTGATTTATACATATATGATACATACATTATAAATATCATAAATATTATAATTGAAGAAAATTGTAAAAAATTTTAATAAAAAAAATAATTTTTAAAATTGTATCAATTATTTCTTTATAAAAATATAATTTAAATAAAGAATAATATAAAATCTTTTAAGAAATTAGCAACTTGAACTTCACATTTATTTAGTAAATTTATTAGACTGAAGTGTAGAGATTCGCAAATTACAAGATAGAAGATGAAAGCTCATCGTTGACGTCGCGACAACGTTCACTAATCCAGCTGTTAGTTTCACCAGTTCAAATTTATCGTATTCGTAATCCAAAAGCAGATATGATTATTAGACAACAGTTTTCTTCAATTTATTTAATCAATGTCCATCCATTTTCTTAACAAGAATATTGGAAATTAAATTCATACTTACTTAATAAATAAAACGTAAAAAGAATTTGTAATTCTAATGTAAAGAATTTTTTCATTCTTTGTTAGTTCATTATATATCTAAAAATATTTTTAAATAGATACTATTTTTGTAAATTTGTTTTGTCGTTTATGTCATTAAAAAATTAATTATACAAAGTTATTAATTAATAGGTTAGTTATTAATAATAGATTAGTTAAATTATTATTATTAATTATTAATTAATAATATTATTAAATAATATAAATAAATTTAAATAAAAATCGGGATAAATTGCTCTTCTTGAATGAATCTTTTTCTCTGAATCTTCTCTAAATTCTAGAATGTAGTAGATATTTTCAGAGACACATTCATTATTTACTAAGAATTTCAAGTGAACTAGTTTAATAGGCTTACTAGTCCTGTTTAAATTATTTAATCTTCATTGAAAGAGATTCCTTAGTAAACTAAACTATTATCTGTAAAGAAAACAAGTCACAGATATTTTTTCACAAAATACAAAATACACACAGAAGAAATATTACTATTCTTCCTTACTATTTAAAATAAAGTAAAAAAGAAATCAAGAAAAAAAGTTTCTATACCTTCTATATCTTAAAAAATTTATTATATTTCTTTAAAAAAAAAAAAAAATAAAATTTACTTATTCTTCTATTAATTTTTTTTTGTTTTTTTCTATTTTTTTATTATTTTTATTTTTTCTTTATTTTCTATTTATTTTGTTCTATTTTATTAAATTTAATTATCTAAAAATTTTTAATTTTATCTTAAGACATGAATTTTGTTTGAAACTGAAATTACATCTTGAGAATCTAAATATTTCCATCATTGTAAACATAAAAATATGTTTAATAATCCTTTAAAATAAGCTAGCATCTGGAGAATTAGCGAGTTCGAGTTTTAATATTCGACGACGGCCAATGTCATACGATGAAGGGCGCACTTTTTCCTAATGGATAAAATTCGATGGAGACATGTGTTCGCCAGACGACGTCTCCAAGGTGCATGGGAATGAATTATGTTTCATTATGTCCGTCTTACAAGAGTATAAAGAACCAACGTTACACAATTTCTTTTCTAAACTTTAATTTTTAACCTCTTCTTTTTCTTCCCTTTATTATCTCACCTAAAAAAAAATATCGTTTAATCTTTCTTATAATATCGTTTTGATGGAAACAATTAATTCATAATAATTGCGATAACATTTAATATTAAAATAAATTCATAAATACATGAGATGAAATATATACAACAGTAGTCGCGCAGTCGCATATCGAATTTTATACAACGTATTTTTTCCGTTATTATAATCAATCATTTGATTCGTCTCACCTATTCTGTTAATGATACTTAACAGTTAATAATAAAATAAGTTAACAAATAAAATAAATGCGAAAATACTATAACTTCAACTAAATATTAAGAAATATTTTATATATAATGTATTGTTAATATAAAATAACATTATATATATGATTGTATATGTAATCAAATGGACTATATATTCATTTATATATTTTCTTTAATATTATATGTATATTATGTTAGCATTATATACACATGCATGAAAGAATTTAATATTTGCTAAAGTATTATGTAAAATATTGAAGATAATATGATTATATAAACTATATAATTATGATTCTATATGATTCTTTAAAACATAAATAAATTTTGTAATTAAAATATAAGAGTTACATAATATGTAAAATACGACATTAAACTGCGCACATACTCTAGAACAGCGATCCCTTAGTGACAATAAACAAACGATGACGACGGAAGTGCAGAAACGCAGCGTCGGTTGTTTGTTTGATTTTCAGGTCGACTTTCTTTCTGGCAGCATCCACGACGTCGACGGCTCCGTTGACGACGCGTGTACCATGTATACATCGGTTCCAGAACGAGGTTTCTTGAATCGTGAGAGAGGACCACCCTGATCGTCGTCACATCTTCCATAACACATTACTTATTATTTCTTACGAACAAATTTCTTCAAAATTATAATCCAATCGCATTTTAAATATATTAATAATTTTTTATCACATATATACAGTTTTATTGAAATATTTATTTGATTATTTTCTTTCCTTAATTCATCAAGGATTAGGAAAACAAAATTCACTTGATTGTTTCAATGTACCTGTGGTCACTTTCACGTCTGTCTCTAACCAATGAAATGTCGTGGCTGGATTATGGGGATTTTATTAACCTCTATAATCCAAAAGTAGCAAGTACCTACTGTATGAGCAATGTTTTCACAAAAGCATTTGGCACGTTCCTTCTTAAATTAGCCTAAAGAATTTTACTAAAATTTACCGTTCAGTAAAGATTAGGATTTAGTAGAAAACAAGAAATTCTATTACAAAATTAATATTTTTATAAAGTTCTTTAATTAAAAAATAATTGTATTAATTTTATAATTAAAATTCTTATAATTAAAAAAATTCTATAGATAAGTTTTAATTATATATATGTAATATATATTAATTATATATAATAATATATATATGTAATACTTAGAATTATTTTATTTAATTATTTATATATATTAGATATGTATCATTAAATTAGATAAAATTAAATAAAATTACTTTAATAGTAAATAAGATTTTAATTTATTTAAATTGGAATATTTTTTATTATGAAATGTAATTTAAATGGTGAAATTATATATAAGTTTTTAGATTAGATTTTCTTCAAGTTTTCCTAAATTGGTTATTATAATCCAGTCTAGATCTTAATAAAATTCGTGAATGTCTTAAATACTATGTTATATTAATTTAGTTAATTTATTGTTAATTACTTTTATTGTTAATTCAGTGGCGTAGTTGCTAGAATTTGCAAGTGGTTCTTTAATCTGAAGAAAGAAAAGAAAAGAAGAGAAAAGAAAAGAAAAGAAATCATCTTTACTTATATTTCTATAGTTCGCGTTTTGTAACGCCATATTGAAAAATAAGTAATAGATGATATTTTTATAATTTTCTATTTCTATTTTATACTATTTTTATTTAAAGAAATTTGATTTTTAAAAAAAAAACTCAAATTTAATATTCCATCCTAAAATTAATATTAATTTTTATTAACATTTAAAATCATTGCACAACTCGATGGTAAGTAAATTTATTACAAAAAATAAATTGAAATTATCTTTGAAATCCTTGAATAATCCTTGAAATTAGTGTTTTTATAACTAGATCTTAATTATTTTATTGCCCAAGTAGCTTCTACTTGGAACCCATGATAATTCCCAGATTTTAGAATGTTAAGCAATTACTAAACACAAGAAATACCAGATAAGCAACGTGACTGGAATCTCATTAAAGGTACAGCGCACTCTATGATCACCATGTGTTCGCCAAATTCTCTAGTTTATACGACCGGCACAAGTCTTGACATGTGTTCAACAGAACTACAGAGAGGTCAGTTAAGAATTGAAGTCCTAACAGGTAGCACGTGTAATCATCAAACGGACACCTGGTGAAAAAAATCATCCTTTACGATTCAATAATATTTAAATAAAAAAACAATAAATTACGAAGATGAGCAAAAAAGTTATTTAAATAAAAAATAAACAGAAAAATATATTTTTATGAAATGACAATAAAAAGAATTTTTATTTTTTATTTTTAAATTTGTATATTTATTTTTTCATTAATCAACTATATCAACGGACAAAAACTATAATACATTGAAAATATATTATAGTAAATGATAGTTATATGGAAAAATATGTATATAATTTAAATAAAGTCAAACTTTTTAGCTCACTTTTGTAAATTAAAATAAAATTATATTAAATTTAACAATTTATTACTGAATAATTTACTTATTTTTATGAAGCTTAAAAATTTAAAAATAAATTATTTTAAGTAAAATAAAATTATATTCGTTAATTAAAAAAAATATTAAAATATTATATATATAAATATTTTAAATGTGTTTAAATTTATAATAATTTATAAAATTAAATCTATTGATAACATAGGATATTGACTTTAAAGAATGAAGTAGGTATTGAAAGAAGATTTTAAAGTTCGTAAATATAAATCTTAAAGGAAGTGGTAAAAGGATTTTTAATCGCTGGAAGTCAAACAGTAATTCGGATTAAGAAACCAGAAAAATATTTGCATTGAAAACAATAAACAGATTGGCAACTACTGGTTTTTTGGTGATCATGCATACTGTTAATATTTTAGCGTATGCTTTCTTTGTCTTTTTCTGAAAAAATTTTATAAAATAATTTGTGTGATATTTTGTGATGTTGAAAAAATTTGAGGTTAATAATGATTTATAATGCGTATATAGATAAAATACAATAAGTAAAAGTAAAATGGGAGGAGTAGTGTTGATGCTTGCCAGAGAGTCGAGTGGATCGGCATTGTGAGAGGCACTTGTCGCTATTCAAGAATCATAAACACGGATTGACTTCTAGTCTCGTGCCTCTTTTGGACGCTTTTTCCCTCTTATTTAACAGGTCTATTCACTCTTTTCTTTTCTGAGGGAAATTCTAACATAAATCTTTAATAAGCACTTTCAATTTAAGATAAGTAACCTTAATAAATATTAATATAATAATTATATAAATTCTTTAAATATAAAAAATAAGTATTAATATTAAAATAGAATAAACAAACATAATCAAACTTCTAAAATAAAATAAATAATATATACAATCTTTTTTTATTTAAAACACTATATATGTATTTAATTTGATTGAGTAATCTAGTTTTTCATTCAATAGCTAAAATTGTAACTTTATTATATGATTTACTTTCTTTATTTCAAACACTAGATTTACTAGATAAAATATAGAAAGATGAATTGAAATTTAAAAAGAATAAAAAAATATATACTTATCTATATATTCTAAAATAAAGGAAAAACTAAATATTATTCTTCATTTGAACATCAATGATCGTATTGCTACACATAGTAAATTTTTTCAGAACGTACATATGAAATGCATCCACGATGAGGTTAATCGTAATGCATGATGAACATGCTCGAAGAAAATCTAGAATCGCAAGCAAGGATAGTATTCGTCAATCCTTAGTCTATAAACTCGAAACATCCAACGACAATATCTCTTATGGCTTCTCAGCTCACGTACTGTTCACAAAGTGTCCCTGGGCTAGGTCCGTACGTATTATAAACGCTGCCTTTACGATCCGCGCCGACAGATAATTTCTACAATGTTTGCCACCATCTTCGCCATGTGTCGAACATACGGCATCATCTTAGTGGAGAGCAATAAGCCTAAGGTAGAGAAGTTGCGTATTCTTTGAACACGGTCCTTTCTTGCTCCTTACAATTGCAATTGTGCATGTACGGTTAGACCTGCAAATAGAATACAATTAAACGTAGGAAATTCTATCACGCTTTCATGATTTATTATTAATAAATTTATTTTCATATAGAATATTCCAAATTTTTCAGAATAAATGTTATACAAACACAAGATGTTCAAAATTTTACTAAGAAATTTATAATAAAAAATAAAAAGTACAAAATAAACAATAATAAATATCTTAAAATAATAAAGATATGATAAAAATTCTGCTCTTAATTCTGATTTTTAATTTTGATTTTTGTAATGGATTATTTTTTCATAAATCTGAAAAATTGAAAATATGCTATATATAATATATAGTAATAAAAACAGAAGTTGAATGAGTATAAAAAAAATACAGATGTCCTTTATGACCTTGTGAGTTTTCTTCTACAGAGACTTTCACCTTTTTCCCTCAGAGGAAACATGTGTTTTGACCACCAGTTTTCGGCAGGTCGCGAACACATGTTCCGGGTTGCCATTCAACTCGTAAATGCAAATTCATGGTACAGTCAACGTAGCGACACATGGACCACCATCCTACATCTATTATCACAATGTCCATCTTCCATCCTTGTGTTTTCAATGTTTCAATGAATGGACTTTTTAAAAATTACATTTGTGTGCAAGTCAACAATGATTTTTCTGAGTAATGAAATTTTTTTAGAATCACAAAAATTACAAAATTAAAGATTAATTTTAAAAATCTATATATAAAAATGTTCTATCTAAATGAATTTTTCTTAAATATTCATATATTTTTATTATAAATATTGACACAAACATGTCATATGAAATTTCTATTTAAATGATAAAAAAATTATAAAATCAAAGATTGTCTTAACCAACAATAAGATAATAAATTTGTAATTTATGAATTAAAATATAATTAGATTATATAATTTATAAATATTATATAATACTAATGAAGTTTTTGAATATTTTATAGAATATAATTTACTATAATATTTGTCTTTAGAAATCTACTAGAATTTCCATTGATCAATTCATAATACATTTTTTAAAGATTAAAATAACTTCAGGTTAAAGAGAGCTTCAGGTTACTAACGGAAGAAGTTTCTGGGGATTCCCCACTGTAAATATTCGAAGAATTGTTCATAGACAGATCGGCGCCATTTTATGACCATGATAAAAGACTTCTTAGGCCATCAGGTGTTAATTGCTTTGCTGGTGGCAGAATTCAACCTGAAATACCGAAATACCTTAATCCTTACAGCCAGTGTAAACAGGCTCATCCATAAATTCTCATCAAATCGGATTTTCTTTGACAGTACACTACCTTCGAGGAATTATTAAAAGCCTCTTGCAGCTAATTAGCCTTTCCCGACAAGTTATTGAAAACAGGTAGGTTAGAAAATATATATATGTAATAACTATTTATTTAAAAGAAAATTCAATTTCCTTTAAAGATTATGTAAGAATAACACGTGATTATATCATGGCACATAATACAAGTTGAAGTTATATTCATATAAAAACTACTTGTAATAAGGAAAAATCTTATTTCTTCTAGTAATTTTTTATCAGAAAAAAATAAATTATATAAGATTCTATATTTGATACATTTACATTTTATTGATACAAATATCAACAATTTTAATAATTTTAATTTTATTATCAATTTGATTTGAAAATCTTTTAAATAACAAATTTTATGTATAAATACATAAAAATATATTTATAAAGTTGCATATATATATATACTGATAATATGATTATAATTAATATAATAATATAATATATAATTTATATCAGAATTTTTGAATAATTTTTTTAAAATTAAATATTATTATTATAAGAATATATAATACATTATATGTTTCTTTATAATAAAAAAAAACATAAAAAATAAAAACAAAAATATAAATTAGTTTTTGTTTTTTAAATAAAAAAGGAAAAAAAGTCATAAAATCTAGTGTATAGAAAGTAGTCTTTAGAAACCCTTAACCTGCAACGGTGCACAACGAAGCATGCATTCGCATGTACACCGATTAAACGCAACTGCATACGCATAATTAAGTTCGCGTTAATATTGTGAAACGGTGCGTGCAGCAGGAACGCACGCACATATTTGCAACCTCTCTTGTGTTGTGTGTAGATATTCTTTTAGATTCTGAATAACGATGCTTATTTTATCCTTTATAAATTTTCAAAATATTTTTTTAATCTATTTTATTATTCTTCTTTTTAAATTTATTAATAAGAAATTAAAAAAAAATAATAAAAAATAAGAAAGCAAAAAATAAAAGTTATTTTAATCTCTCATATAACTTATAGAAATAATAGAGAAATATTTTCTTATTTCATTTTAATCGCTATGATATCCCAATTATTTTATTGATTTTTCTTCAGTTTATTATCTTCTCATTTATTTCTTTTTTAATTTTTTATACAATTTAAAAAAACACAAGATTACTTTGATTTCTCTGAAAATACAAAATTAAACATTAATTTCGTAAACTATTTCATATAAAATATTTTTTATAAAATATTTTTTTACTAAATCAATATATAAATATTTCAAGTAAGTCATCTTTCTTGATTACATACATAATCGCCTAGAACTGTCAAAAAATCAAATCATGCCAAATCCCAAGGAATTTTCAACTTTAAGGAAAAGTCAAGGAAGCCAGGAAGATGGTGCAAGTTATTTGACTTTGATCAGCAACGAGTATTATTTTGGTGTTTGGCCGCGTTATTTATCGGCCTCTTTATTGGCGATCTGATTTTCAGTTGGCTACGAGCCAGGATCCGGGATTTTCTGCTTGCTCGTTTCGCTTCCCAGAAGTGAACGGCAGAGACGAAAAAGCAACGTTAATGTCTTTACTTTCGATAAACGTGTTTCGATGTAACGACAAATTCAGACGTATGTCCTACGACTTCCTCAAAAGTGTAAAAGTATTTCTTATAATTGGATAGCTTAATACTTATTAATGGTCACTAAATATTTTTATATGTTCTGCTTCGAAGTCACACTTTCCTGAAATAAGATTAATTTAATTTTTCTTTAAATACTATCTTGATAAGTTATACAAAATTAAAAGAAAAAGAGATTAGAAATAAAAAAGAAAAAAAATTTTTGATAAAATTTTTGTAAATCAAGTATATTTGATATCATTTAAAGCTAATTTATATTTTATGAACAAGAATTTTTATAATAATATTTATGTAATGACATATTTTATATTAAAATTACCATGCTGATTTAAAATTTTTTATAAATTTATAGAAAAAGAAAAACAAAATATAAAATATAAATAATAAATAAATTTAATTATTAATAAAACAAAAAAAAAGAGGAAGAATAAAGTGGAATTTAAGTTTAAAATTACTATAGAAAAAGATTCTTCCGATTAAGAAGAAATTCAATGACTTCGCTGATTCAGTCGCCACCCCCGCAACTAAATTTTACACAGGCGTTGCCACAACGTGGAGTGAGACATAGTAAATCACGGGACTATGTAGGAAAACCGTGGAACCCGTGAAAGCTCGAAACGCGGAATTTATAGATACCTTCAAAAGAGCTTTCGTCCGTCACAACAAACATGTCCCGGCAATCCAGCATGGTCATTCATCATCCAGCCTCGCCACTGGAACTGCGGCTCGTCTATCAACGATTTTGAATCGTTCCATTCGCCTGTATTAATTTCAAATCGCGAGAAATAACTTATTCTTGAAAACATCTAAAGTTTTGGTATGGATATTTAATGCATTAATTTGTACCTTTGTTGTATTAAAGATGGAAAAAATTTATAAGATGAATAACTTGAAAGGATAAAACAGATCTAAAAAAGTAGATGAATTATTAATTTTAAGATTATTGAGATTAATTAGTTGATAGTTTAATGTAATTATGTAAAATTAAAAATATATTAATATAATTTTAAAAAAATCTTATCTTATATAAGTTAAACTTTGCAATCAATACATACTTACTTGATTCAACTAGTGAGAATTAATTTTATATCTATATTAGTATATGTATAATAAAAATCCTATAAATGAAAAAAAAAAATAATTATAAATAAAAATAAGTAAATGAGTTATTAAATTCATTAACTTTAAAGAAAAGAATTTGAAAAACTATTTCAAATATAAACAAATTATGTTAATGAGAATAATCAAACAAAATCGACAAAGAGAAACAGAAGAATCGCGCGTTTTCGCGCCATTTCATGCCAAGTGAATGCAGAGTTTTGCAGATCATAGCCCTGTTCTTCGCTATCCCTCGCTTTATTCTCACTGGCTCCTCGCGATATAAATATTCAACATGGGTCGTCCCTCAAGTCTTCTATCTCTTTCTTCGTGTGTTGCTCCTTTTCTGTTCTTTCTCTTACAATACTATCTCTCTTCATCATCATCCAAGCTATTCAATCTCTCTCCTTTCGATTTCTTCAATCTTGCAGTTCGAAATTATTGAAGCATTAGAGAAAGATCATCAATCATTTCATATAAAATTTAATAAAATTCCTATCGGCAAAATTCAAAAGCTAAATACTCATCTCAAACAAATTTAATAAAATATCTGAAATAAGTAACTATAAAACTATATCCGTTTCATGAATTTCAATTTTTTTACTTTTAGAAATCAGAAGAAGCTAAGGAAATTAAATGAAAATATAAAAAAATATTCAAATTCCAGTTTTATCTATATTCTATTTTTCTTCTCTTCATGTCCACAGTTTTGACAGTGGTTACAACTTTTGTAGCTCTCTGATCATGATTTTCAATCTCCCAAGCCCCCTTTCAGTACATCCTTTTCTTTCCAAGAGCCAAGTTTTGTGGGTGGGGACTAACTGACAGACACGATGGATAAAAGAAACCGTCCCAGAGCATTGGAGGGGTTTATATAGGCGGATAGAGGGGCCAGGTAGGGGAACAGCTCCATAGTCGAAGGCGGGGTTCCTGGTTGACATGAAGAGGCAGTCCGAGGGTCGGTTCTTTCAGATGAGTCTGAACTTTCGAGCAGAGACGTATGCTCATTTACAAGCCTGCTATAAATGTATCGACACTATATCGATGCCGAGCGTGTGTCCTATAATAGTCCAAATCCTTTCATAAAAGCGTTACTCTATAAAAAATCCTTTGAAATCCTAGAATTAGATATAATTCTATTCAAACAGGTTCGAAGTGTTTGGGACGAGTTCTAGTGAGTGATGTCTAAGTGTTTAAATATTAACTAATAGCCAAAGTGAATTTTAATGAAGATCATGCAGACCACGCAACCAGTGAGTCTCCAGTCGCAAAGGATCCAGGGGCTCTATCTTCTGGACAATAACGACAGCTCTGGAATTCCTCACAGTGCTGAAAGCTCGGCTAGTAACTCTCCTGATCACTATGAAAGGTTTTCCCCTCCGACACACTTAATGGATCTAAGCAGTCCACCTGAGCACAGGGATCTACCTATATATCAACCTCATCATCATCTTCATCATCATCAAGTACTTTATCAACAATCCTCTTACCTGATGTATGAAAATCCTGATGATCCTGAAAAAAGGTATCAAGAACATCCCAATGGAAAGATCCTTAGGGAACTTCAAACTGACTATGATAGACGTCTTCATGATAATTCTCCAGGTTTTTTGTCAGATCATAGCAGAGATCAAGAACAAAATCTTTATTTAACTCCATCCCCTCAGATGTATTCCTCTGGAGGGGAAGAAATGACACCTAGACAATCTCATCAAAGTTATCATCACATGGATTCGGTTGAGTACAAGCCGGAAATAATGGAATACAAACCGGATGTAGAAGAGCAGCGATACAAGCAGGTGGAGATGAGTCAAATCACGGAACCCTCCTCTTCAACCAAAAGTTATGTACTTGAAGGATCCAGAAACGGTGGAAAGAGAAAAAGAAAATCGAGTACTATTGAAAATGAATCTGAAACAGAAAGTAACGCTTCTTCGACAAAAACGAAGGTGAGAAGGAAAAGTGGAGCGACGTTTGAAGAAATTCAAAATCAGAGAGTGATGGCCAATGTGAGAGAAAGACAAAGGACTCAAAGTTTGAATGAAGCATTTGCTGCACTTAGAAAGATTATACCAACGTTACCAAGTGACAAGTTGAGCAAGATTCAAACATTAAAATTAGCTACCAGATACATTGACTTCCTGTTCCAGGTATTGCATTGCAATATGGAGAACACTGAGGGTGCTGATGATACTGGTGAGTTTTCATTACATTTTATATTCAAGATAGAATACTAAAATTAAATTCAATTATAATGATGCAAGCTATAACGACCAAGCAATTTACATTTCTTATTTGTATTCCATTTTTGAATGCAGTTATTAAATATAAATATTAGATAGATATTTTGTTTTAATTACTTTCTTATTTTTTTCTTTTCATTTTCGTATTAAAATTGTAATGAATATTCTACAAATACAATTTTTATACTTTGATTTCTAATATCTCGATTATCTAAATATCTGTTATTCAAATATTTGATTATATGAACACCTGTTATCTGGACATTCGATCATTCAAACAATATCGATAATAAAGAAAAATAATAAATACTTAATAAATATTAAATATTTCTATCCGTCCTACTTTCTATGTATACAATTATTCAAAAAATTGGATTATTTCGATTATTTATTAGTTCGATTAATCAAAATTTTACTATATATAAAATATTCCTTTAAACTTGTTTGTTAAAACAGATATAAATTATTTTTTCATTATAGCAGCAAACTAAACTATTTGTAATATTATTATTATTAAAATAAATAAAAGTATAATGCATATATATTATAAATATATATACTATATTTACTATAATATAAACATCTAAGTATTATAACATATCCGTCGGCATCTACCTCCAGCCAAGTAGCACGTGTTTATAGAAACTAGTTCGTTTGTTTAAAGTTCCTAATTAAACATATCCCCATGAAGAAGTGGTTCTGATTTGAATATCAACAACTATGCTAAGTAACTGTGTCATCTCTAGAGGTAGCCCTTCAGGTAAACATCTTTTCCCACTCAACTTCTGTTATTTGTCGATAGCTAAAACAATCTTTATCAAATAAATTGATAAGAGAATCAATCAGAATGAATCGGTCTAAACTTTAAGAATTTTTTACAAGAATTTCTAGATTTGTTAAAATTAAATAATTTCTTTGCATTCCAAACTTGATTAATTTCTTAGATTGGTTTACTGTTATATTTTTGATAAGTTTGTATCTTAGTTTGTTGAAAAATTTGTAGTATTTTTCTGAAAAAATTTTTATTAATTTTATGATTTTTATACCATTAATAGAAATTTGATATTTAGTCTAATATAATTTTGTATTTTAACTTAAAGAAAAAAAAGAATTAAATAATTTATGGAATATTTTCTTTTTAAAAAATTTAATACCTAAAGATTTTTCTAATGAGATTTATATCTAAGAATTCTGTCAATATTATAGAAGCAACAACATGCTTCATCAGTTTTCTTGCACTTCAGTATTTCAGTCAGCGTTGACAATTAGTTAGGGTGCGATCTAGTACAAGTCAAATAGCGACAATATGTGCAGTACCATAACTTCAGGTGACTAAAGATATCGAGACACGCTAACTGTCTTGAAGACGAGGACGATGATTGGTCCATTTTCAGCGCGCCAACCGCGAACATTCACTGCGTATTTCTTCCTTTCATTTTGCTTATCTGATATCCCATGATGTTTTTCTCTTTTCGTCTTGGCAAGAATTCTTTTTACATGCCCTTGCCGAATACTCCGACTCAAATTCTTTTAAATTATTATTACAACGTACAATATTTATGAATTTCGCAATTTATTTTTCATTTCAATATTTGCAATTTCAACGCTAGCTTTTCAATTCTAAAGTTTAACAACTTAGAGAGCTTAATTTCGATTGTTCCAAATGTTTGCAGTTTCAGATATTCTTACTTTCGGTGAACGCTTGTAACACCACAATTGTGTCTGCAATGATTTTTCAATCTCAAAATTTTCTAACTTTTAATTCTAAAAGTTAATAATTTTAGTTCTAAGCATTCGCAATTGCAATTTTTTGCTATTATACTAATATATATATATATTATACAATATTTGGAATTTAAAAAATTTCAATTTCAATTATAGTTGTTTCGTGATTCGCTTGGAATTTCAGAATTTTTTAATTCCGAAATAGAATTTTTTTTCTTGCAATAGACATACCAGTTCAAGTCTGAAAAGGATTAATCAAGCTCGATTTCCTATCTTGTTCAGGCGAAAGAAATCCAAGAAGCGCCGTTCTAGCCGCCAGAGAAATAACTTCATCGTCGTGCAGCTACATGGCTCACGAAAAACTTTCATACGCTTTTAGCGTTTGGAGGATGGAAGATGATTGGAATTCGAATCTCTAGAAACTTTAAAAAATATTTTTTGAACGCTCAACAAGGTAAAAGTTACTTTAAATTGATAATCAACGCTTTAAACGTTGTATGAATATCTAGAAAATATAGAGAAATTTTAAAAGAGCTTAACAATGCTCATTATTTAAACATATTTCTATGAAATATTCTATGAAATATGACAATGTACAAACTGGGAGTTTATTAAATTGCGTGTCGATTTCCTATTTTCGCTGGCACGAAAATATTGAAATTATGATAATAGGGAAAAGACAATGTTGTGACATGTAAAGATAATCTATTCAGGATCAATGATGCTTTTATGGAACATATTATTTAAGCAACATTTATTTTTCAAAAGTTATCGAATCTTTTAACATTATAATCATATGAGGAAATAATCTTTTTAATTTGTCCATTTCTTTCATTTAAATATGAATAATTTTATGAATATTTTTAATTTTGAAAAAATTGAAGTAATCATAAAATTATGACGAATTATTTTTTGAATAATTTTTTATACCGCCAATTTATTTTGTAGGCTTCTGTGATGTGTTTAGATATCTACTCCAATTCACTTTTTATATATTAACAAAACAGTATGAATTATTTTATTTACTTTTTTAATCCTTTAATAATAATTCGTTAATATAATGATAAAAGTAAATAAATTAGAAAAAGATATCAATCAAATAGTTTTCTATTTAAATAGAAGCGCTGATTTTTGTTTCTTAAAATATTATTTGACAAAAATTATATTAAAAATTATTTTTTCCTTTGTAAAATTAATAATTATCAAAAGTTGCTTGTAATTTAAATCTAAAGCATGGAATAATATTGTCACACTTGTTGGCCATTACGAATGACTAATTAATAGTAATTATTTCTCTAAAGGACTAAATTGATCTTTTTGAAATCACAGTCGACTTCGTGATAGATCAAGAAAGATTAGATTCATGAAACATAATGTAAGTCAATAATTTACATCTTCTTTTCGCTCTATTAATACTGGATGTCTTTGGCTGGTTAGCCAATTCCTCCATAATTTCTGAACCGTGTGAAAGTGATAATATAATATATTAATGGTCTTTTCTGTTTTCTATCAATCTCTATCTTCGAAATGGAGCAAAATGACCCAAAATAATTCTGTTCGTTATATTGATTCATGATATATATGTTGGTTCTTATTTATTCAATTATTTTTCTTGGTATTTGTTTAAAATATATATATTGAACTGATGAATTTATTTGTCAAAAAATATCGTAAAACAAGATGTATGATTTCTTTTTAAAATTTTTGTTTACAAATATTTAATTCCTATATATAAATCATTTATTGATCAATTTATATAACTAAATAAATAATTTTTTATAAACTTACATATAAATTAAGTTACATGTAAGTTTATATATAAATATGGCAATTTCCTACAACAATACTTACAATAGGTATTCTGATAGTACTTACATCAGAATAACTCCTAAATCATATAATAGACATCATTAGCGATTCTCTAAACTTTACCAATTTTCCTTCTCCAGATCCACAACAGACAGTAGTATCATTGCTACAATTTTACGAGTTTTTTTACGAGCCTCGATGATCGTGGCAGACTAACGTCTCGACGTTGTGGAAACAAGTTCTAACTGCTCCGACGAGTAGATGAAACTTAAACAAAACAACCGACAAAGAAACATTAACGATCATTTTGGCGCCAATAGGTCGGGGAAGATATCATACCTTTTTCAATTTTTCTTCTTCTTTTCCATATTTTATCTGATGATGAGAATAACTTTTAGCAGTATCTATTTTATTCGATAGATGTTATAGTTAGTTAAAGTAGAGGTTCTTTCATGGTTTAGTCAACTTTACATGAGAAGGTTTCGAACGCAACCAGTTATTTTAAACCAAGAAAGCAAGAAGGGAAAAGTTGGGTCTACGTTTGACTTGCTTAACGAAGACACGCTACGTTAAATCCGCCAGCGTCTTTATTGCCGCACTGAATCTTCGTGAAAAAAAGTTTGCCTCCAAACGAGGTGCCATCAGTGTCCCCCTTGAGAAGCTGTCAGAAAGCTATTCTCTTTTCCTTTTCCTTTTTTTCCCCTTGTTAAAGCTTTATATTAATTTTGAAAGAAATTTTACTGAAAAAAAGAATATTTTTCAAGTATCTATCTATAATATAATTTTATAATTATATTAAATTTTATATTAAATTTATATTAAATTTTGAAATGAAATAAAATAAAAATAATTTTAGAAGATTTACTGGAACAAAATTACTTTTCAGTCCTTATTTTTTATTCTTCATGAACATTTCTTTTATCATCAAAATTTCATTTAAAACAATTTTACAATTATTTCTTCTTCATTGCTGTTTCTCTTTCTTCTTTTTCTTCTTTTATTATCCGTAATGATATCTTGATTAAAATCTTGGTAATTATAAATTATGTAGAATTTTAGCAGCAAGTGTGACAAGTTTTCTCGCAATTTTTTTTCATTGATATGCTTCAAACTAAATTTGTATAAATATTGATTTAATATTATGCATGTTATATTCATTCAAATAAAAAAGTTGAATATTTAAATAAAAAAATTGAGTATCTTGAAAGAACTATGTTTTGTATATTTTAATGTATTTATTATGCTGATTAAAATTCATGATCATATTATAATACTTAGGAAAATCACTATATATATATATATGTATATATATAGAGTTATAATTATCACAATGCAAATAGCAATGTAATTATATCTAATTCTTCAACATCATATATACATATATCATAAATCCATAAGTATAAATGATTGTTAAATTTTTATACTGTGCTATTTAGTTTTCAAATGAATTTATATATATATTTCAATAAAAAATAATATATATATATATATATATATATATATATACACACACACTGAATTAAATAGAACATATTTAGTTCTAATAACATTTTTTATAAAAAAATTTGAAAATTTTAGATGATAAATTATGTAAAGTAATCTCGAGTCTTAATTTTGTCTTAACAAGGTCGTAATTTTTTTATAAATTTTTTGTTGAGAATAAGTGTTTATCCTATATATTAATAAAAATCGAGATTGCTAATTTTTTCCATTTCTGTATAGATTTCTTCGCACAGAAGATATTGTACCTTATATAGCAAATTGTATTTAATTATAAGTTTTTAAATACCTTAAACATACAGCAGAAAGAACCAAAAATTTTGTATATAGTAGACTAAGAAAAATTTTCTATATTGTATATTCTCCAACAAAGAGATTATTAAAAAAACATTTATTTTCGTCCTAAGTTCACCTTTAGTTTCATTACTTTAAGGTACAATGTGGCCGGAAATCGCAATAATTTATTTTTTGCCAAATAATTATAATAATCATTAAACAATAATCTGTAAATAATGTAAATATTAAAAATTTATTAATATTAAATTTTTTAAAAGCTTAAATTAAAGAAAAAATTCCTTTGAAACTTTTGATAAAATTTGTTTTTTCTTATGTAGATATATATTTATGCGAAAAAAGATTTACAAATAGAATCTACAAACTAATTAATATCTTAAAAAAAAATTTCAGTTTAAGTTTCAAATAGAATTTCATTTTTTTTAAATTTAAGATTTTTTTATTCTAAATGTTGAATTATATTAATTTTTGTATAAATGATTGTACCGAAATTATTTTATATAATTCTCGATAATTTTTTTCGAGAATTGATGATAATGTTTCCTAATAATAAGGTAACATTTGGATTTTCATTCCTTAAAACGATGCCAAAGTGCATTTTTTAAGTAATTTATCAGAGTGTATTTGTACAATTAATGTACAGTATTTTTATATATCAATTGCGAATAATGCAATAAAATTGAATACTGAATATAAATCTTCCATATTTTTTATGTACCTCAATTTTCCAAACCTGTTTTTAATTTATTTAATTTATTTAATTAATTGATAAGTAAAGATTTTTTAATAATTAGAAAAGATTTTAATTTCTCAATTTAAGAATTTTAAATATTTTCATTTAGAAATATTCAATTAAAAAATATTTAAATCCGCAATAAAATATGTAAAAATAACAAAAATAAAATTTATCATCTTTGTTGCGCCTATTAAAGTTCCACCAACACCGGAAGTTCTATTGCGGAAGCGGATGATGTTTAATGGATAAAGGATCGTCGCATAATACCTAGTTGACATTACTAGAGTACTCGTAACGAATCCAGGCGCGAAACATATGGATATTCCCAGATCGTAAATTCGAAGAAACATCTTAGAAAGACAAGGAACGAAACAGTGTCTGATAAATAATTTACCAAATGCCAGCCGATGGCAAGCTTAATGGATTAGACGAGTCAGTGCAAATATTATTGCAAGGAAACGGCAGTTAGCAACGCCCAGTTTGTCCGATTGGTCAAAAATGATGTCAACCGGCTGTCTTTTGGCCAATCAACGTACACCGGATGTTCGTCGGATCTTTTCAATACAATTCTCTCCACTATGTTTTCTATGTCGTAAGGGTATTGTGATTATTTTTCTAATGAAATCTTCAATATTACTTCATTTCGATTCCTATAATCAATATACAATTTAGATAAAAATTAAATAACTTTTCAATAAAATTTGAATTATAGGGAGAATTTATTATTTTCTTATTATTATTTCCTTAACTAAGGAAGGAGAAAAGAAAATTTTTTACAAATGAATTAATATCATTAATATTATTAATGTTATTTAATCACAAATTACCAATAATGAATTAAAAGGATTTTTTTGGAAAAAGAAAAAGAAATAGATACATATTATATATCTGCAATTCTTATCTTTCTTTTTCCTGAAAGCCATCATTAAATTAGTGATCATAAAGTAACCAACCGGTAGCTGAAAGAACTGTCACATTCTCTCATGGTGATCCCAGAAATCTGAGAAACCACCTAACCTAAACATAGCGACCTACCACGCTTCACTGGTTTATTTATGAACGCGAGAACTCGATGGAAATCCTACCATCAGCCCTATGCGTAACTATATGCAACTGTTTTTTTTATTTCATTTCCTTCTTCTCGTTTCGTAGATACAAGATAAATCTTTAATCGGATATTTTGTTAATATTATGCACTCTTTAATCCCAAATAATTCCATGTTTTCTTTATAATTCAAATCAGAATTTCAATAGATTTTCTATGAGAAAACTTGTTTGTTTAATATATTATCACAAAATTAATATGAAAAAGAAAAAAGAAAGAATAAACATTTGTTCTCTTTATTTTACTACATCACTCACAATTTCTATTATTCTATGTTTTTTCTTAGAATAATTAATTGACCGTCGTTAGTGCTAATTGTAATCACCACTTTCTTTATAGTTCTCTTCAATATTGTAATATATGTGTAATATACTATATATGAAATTGATTTAATGACACGATAGTGTCTTGCACAGTCAGTTTGTTTTCTGATGGCTTACATGACAACAGAAATATATATAAAAATTTATACTTACAATGACAAAAAAATATTGATCATACTTCGACTGCAATTATTTTATATTCTTCAAATCACAGTAAAGAAAATCTTAGCAATTTTCTTATCATAAGCAATTAAAATTCTGTTTAGAATAATTTGAAAATTTATATACTTGAATTTCAGTAACTTCCATAACCTATAAAACATTATATATATTTATTATTTAATTTTTCAAAATTATATACATATGTTTATATACATATGTTTATTAATTAAAAAGATCTTAAGATTTTACAAGATCCATTGTTTAATATATTTATAATATTCTGTTAGTATAAGAATCATTTCAAGTTCAATTAAAGGACTATTTCAAGAAATGATCTGTTGAAAAGTTGAAAATAAAAGATGGAGTGAATTAATAAGAAATGCTAAGCAAAAACATTCACATAATTTGATTATCCATTCAGTTTTCATCAGAGGAACAATTTCCATGACGAACATAAATATCAATTAATTAAATCGCGTAATTCGTTTTTACCATTAATTTTTCGAAATAGTTTTTTTGATAATGAGATACGAAAAACTCATTAATTCACGATCTCTTAAATCATGCCACTAGTTTATTCGTTGGTTTTTGACAATAATGAAGTATTTTTAATTAATACTTGATAAATAAATTATTTTATTTATTTTATTATAATAATTATAAAATTCAGAATTATGTATATTTGAATTTCTTTCTTTTAAATTTTTATTTTTATCTATTAAGGAGAATTTTAAATATTTGATTGTATAATCGCAAATATTTATACACTTATATATTAAAATATATAAACCTAACAATTTTCATGACAAAATCTAATCAAAAGTAGTATAAAATATATCGAAAACTATAGGCATGTGTGTCTTATTTTCATTTCACAAGATTTCACGACCAAGTGTTATTTTTTTCAGATGCTTTCAAGATAAAACAAGATCGAAAAAGGGGAGGTTAGAATTGTGAAAACCAAAAGAAAAAACCAATTTCCTTATTTTATGATCAAATAAATTACTGTTTGCTTTTGTGCAATATGTTTTATAGATTAAATTAATTTTATAGATTTTTGTGAAACTTATATATAAAAAGTTTTTGAAGCAATTGCAGAATTATTTGAACATTAGAATTCAAAATGAATCACAAGAAATATTATGGAAGATTAAATTGAAAATCTAAATAAATCAAAAAAAAAATTTGTTAAAAATAATATAAATTATAAATTAATATAATATAATAATATAATATAAATTTGTTAAAAAATTTTAATTATACTTCAATTAATTTAAACAAGATTAAAAATTTGAAATTAATTTTGAATAAAATTAAAAAAATACTTATTCAATAATTCAAATTTATCCAATTTGAATTATTTTGCATCAATCATGATATTTTTTTATTCTATCTGATGTTCACTTAAACAGTTCCAAGATAGCAAGAATTAAACAGAGTTGGTAAGAAAGTTAAAGATGGCTTCACAGGATACATCCTTCCTCCCGAGCGCACTCAAACAAGGGGCCATTGAAAGAAAATTCTAACTGTTTATCGTTTCAATAAACCGCGACTGCTTCCGTTTCCATTCTTCCTTTCTGATCGACAAGCTGTTAAATGGTACTTTAAACAATCCTCGAAGATACTGTATGCAATAAATCTCGATCGCATTTCGATTAAATATACCAGATAAATCGATCTTTCAACTATCGATTGATACTGTAAATGAAAATATAAAATAGAATTAAAATAATAATAAAAGATGTAGGAATGAAATAAACAAAATATTCTTTAAAAATTAAAAAATCAAAAATAGAAAATAATTTTCTCAAATAATATTGTACTTATCTTCAATATTATGATTATCAAATTAAACCAATCAAATTATGTTAACATCTATATAATATACTTTATATGTGATATACTTTACATAAATAAAAAATTTAATAATTATTTTATTTATTTATATTTATATATATTTATATAAAAAGGAAAAAGATGGTACATAAAACCGTAAATTGCATGACAAAATATAGAGATTTTAAAAAATTGTTACTGTATTTCCATAACGACATCTATATCTGTCGATCTAAATTGCGATTTTTCATCCATTATAGAATAACCATATTTCGTGCATTTTACAATCTATTTACATATTTAAGTAAAATAATAACTTTTTATGTATGTGAATAAATAAAATTTATGTAAATAAATGTGTATGTGTGAATTTTATATAGAAATAATAAAATGCACAACGAATGTTGATAAATGATAAAACTTATTTCAAATTTTTTATATATCATATTTAAGAGAAAATAATTTACTCTTCTATTTAATTAAATGCAATGATAATACGTAAGAAAACGGCTATTTCTTTGTCAAAATAATCCAATATTACAAAAAACATTGTTTTAAACATAATAGTTCATTTCAAATAAGTCGTAATTCGAGATGGCGCTACTATACCACGGAAAAGTGCGCAATTTTAACTTTCTTTTTTCTTTTTTATAGACAATTTCGCAGGCATGATTTTCTTTTTCATTTTTAATATAATTTTTTGCTTATATTACATTAAACACAACACTAGTAATTAAATCTATCGAAAATATTTAAAGTTTTAAAATTATATAAATCTATTGAGTGTTGAAAAAAAATTTGAAGTCATTTTTTTTTGTTATAAATATATTGAATATCAAGAAAACAAAAAAAAATTAATATTTTTTGTATAGAAAAATTGTTACACTGTCTTTGATTCATATATAAAATTTACAGTGTCTTAACGTAAAAATATTTTAAGGATTGAAGTTTTTTTTCTTTTTTTAGTATTGTTCGTTATTGTAAATTGTTAATCATTTGATACATATAATAACCATATTAATGTCTGACGTCAATCTTACAAATACATAAAATCTTTTTTTTTACCGCTGTAGCAAATGGCAGAAAAAAGATTACGTTCAACAAAGCAATAATAACCGATTCGAACGAAACTTCTTCGAGCGAGCTAACATAGCAATATGTATATATATTCAAAAAGCTGACAAATTTCCAGCATATTTTCTAGTATTATTTTTCAAATGATTCAATTAAGTGACAAATACTGATGCTGATCTGTTCAATTTCTTTCTTTTGCTAAGTTTCTTTTGATAAGTTTTTTTTATCTTTGATATTACATATGTCTTACTATCTACTACATATATTTACAAGATCGACATATTTCGCCGATAACATAAGCTATTCTCTATTAAGCTTAGTTCGATTCAGTTAAAAATTTTGACTTAGTTTCTTATTGGCACATCGCAGAGGCATTATAACTTCTTTAGACAGATTTGGGAAGTTTTTATGATATAATATATTATAGATATAAAGGAATTAGAAATTAAAAATTATATTGAAGACTGTAGCAAAATTTTAATTTTCATTGATTTTATAGTTGTGTTGGGAAGCCCCTACGATTTTAATTTATCATTCTATTTCTTTCATTCTCTTCCTTCCTCTTTCTCCATTCATCCACACATATACGCACGCATATACACATATACTCTTTCTCTCTTCCTTTATTATAATTCATCAAATAATAGCTAAATATTAAAATTCAGATAGTTGAACTATACTTTGGAAATTCGCGTAACAGAACCTGAAGCCAATAATTTGAATCCGAAATTTACATTGATTTAAATCAATCTTTTGATTTTTTTTTATAATTGCATAAAAACTTATTCATAGTTTATTTTTAATGATAAATACTCTTATGTAGAATTCTTTAAGGAATTATTACCATTGTTTCACGATTATCATGTTTAAAATTTGCAAATATAGTACAACTTGTATTTTACAAGTAACTTTGATATAAAAGTCTATCAAACGCCTATAATATATCAGCGTATTTAAAAACCAGAAGGTTAAATAGATTCTTCATGTTAATTCGACAATTATGGATAAAGTCCCAATTGAATTTTTAATACTTTTTTTCAAGATCTGCACGCATCATTATCACAACTTTCTTTCACTTTTCTCCCTATACATAAAAAACAAAGAACAAATCCTATATATTCATTTTTTTTTACTTATTCTGTGGCAACGCTCCACAATACGTATTTTACTGTAAAAGCAAAGGCCGCGAATCCTATGATGACAACAAGATTGGTGAGTACATTATACAATGGACTTTGATCCCTTTGCAATTGATCACGTAATAGTGAAGAAACTTCTGAAGCTGTGGATTGATGCCTTGCTTGTTTTTCTAATTCTTTTCTATGTTCTAATTCTGCCTTTATTGTCTATAAAATATGAATTTTTTTTACTAATATATTCATTTACTAATATATTCATTGGTAATGAAATATTTTTTTTATAACATTAATATTACCTCAACAGTTTCTGGAAAAAGTTCACAAAACAATTTGTCCTTTAAATTATATTCCAAACTTTGTGCAGCAAATTGTTTCTTTTCATAATCTGATGTGTTGATACTACCCATGGTAGGACTATTTTCAATCTATTATAAGAATGATTATTTTCAAATATCAAAATAAATTGATTATATATTTAATTTATTAATTATTATTTTACTATACCATGAAACTAAGTAATCCTGTAAGAATAGTAGAGACACTCCATGCTGGATTCCATGTATCAGGATGAAAATCAGAAATAGATAAACATAATCTTGTATTGACTTTAAATCTGCCATTAGGAGTAGTCATATAAATGCTAGGAGGTTGAAATGGAAATTCTACTGGAAATATAAGCTTCCCATGATAAAATCCTCCTTCATAGGGAGTTTTCTCTGGGCCTTTTACTACATAATGCCTATAAAAATATATTTAATATTTATAAATATTTATTATTAATTTTCATACAAATTTTCTTCATAGATATTAAAATACATACCATTCTAATATATTAGAAGGAACTGGCTCTGCAACAACATATGGTATAGGGTCTTTTTTAAGACGCAAATAATCTTGTTTCAGTCTTGCTGTTGCACTATTAGTTATCCTATTCATATTATATTAGAAATACTTTGTAAATACTTTGTAATTCTTTATTTATTAATCCTTTGTTATATTTTAAAATGTATTTTTTATACAACAATTTTTTTATAAAACTCTTTTATGTTGATTCTGGGAAAGTGTAATACTTTTGTTTATTTTATACTGAAATATCATATAAAAATTGCGTGTTTCACGTGACAACTTGAAACGTTGACTTTCCAAGTTGTAAAATGTGTTTTACTCTTAGAATATGACGTTTAAAGTATTATCGTTTGTGATAAATTAATAAAAAGAGAATTTGAATGCGAGTTAAAAGATAGGTTACGTTGCCTTTATTCTTGATAACGCAGATGCAGATATATATGAAGAATATCGTATATTGAAGAAGTGTTTTTGACAATCTTTATCTTGCCACTTACAGAATATTCACGAATGACACTAAATTTGACAGCAACTCTTTCATGACAGAAAACATATGACTATGAAATGCACTGAATTATTTCATTTCGTAACAGTGTTGCCAAGTTCTATTATAACGCATTTAATAATTATTGACGAATTAATTGATAAATCTTTTTTTTTATGATTCAAATTCTTATTTTATCATCCACTTTTTTTCTTTCTTATTAATTAAGAAAAGTATGATATTTGTTTAAGAACTTTTAATTGATGAAAATATTGATAATAATTTGGTCATTAAATTCAACCAAATATAAAATAGTATGTATTTAATGAAATTAAACAAATAAATTATAATCTATGTAAAAAATTATAATGAAAATGAGATTATAAAAAAATTGGAGAATAAACAATTGTGAGAATAAAATGAAAGATAATTATATAAAATATAAATGTAACAGCTTTCTCTTTTGAATTTATTATTTATTAAAATAAATAAATTTTGTTAATAATAATTTATATTACTTACATAGTTTTCAGTTGAAAATGTAAACATTCATTAACTTTCAGTTATTTATAACATTATATTTTAAATATTATATTTTAACTTTATTAATAATACAAATGATTTATAAAATTTATCTAATTTTTTAAAATATTATAAATTTTTTATAAATATCAATTAAAAAAGTTCTATTAATATTTATTTATATATACTTTCATAGAATAAATATACTAAATTGTAATTTAAAAAGTATCAGATTTTTGAAAACTTATTACACTTACGTAATAAATAATATTACAAAAACAAATTATATGAAAAACTGTTAACATTTGTTCATACTATTCTTAGAATTCCCTAGAGTAATATTTATAAAAATATGCAATTATAAATCCAAAAATATACATTTGTAAAAACATTTTTATGAAAATATAATAAAAATTACTTACCAAATAAAGATAGAAAGAATAAAAAATTTTTTCATAATTTTGTTACGTAAATTTTTCTACTAATTCGATTCTTTGTAGATTTATCAAATCTAAACATATTCTTTATAATATTTCTATAAAGATATAGAACATTTTGAACCACCTGTTAATATTTGAATTACGCAATATTATTTATAAAGGATATAGAAATTATTAATTGATGAATTGAGCTTAAGATTCGTGACAGTCTCCGCCTCTCACCGACTATCACCGGGAAAATCGACACTGTTGATTCTTATAGTACGAAAAAAATTATTTAAACAATATTCATGAACTGTTTAAAAAAATTTATTTGATTTTAAGATTTTAAGATTTATTTAGATAAAAGTATTATATTATCAAACTCATCAAAAAGATGAGTTCTCCAGTTTCAATAAGTAATACTGGTCCTATGACTAGTACTACAGGAATGGAAACAATAGTGGCTGTGGCACTAGGTGCACTAGCTGCTGTTTTCTTTGGTGCATTCCTAGTTTTGCTTGTCATTTGCAAAAGACAAAGATGTTACTATGTAAGTTACTTATTTTTTGTTTTTTATAGAATATGATAATAAATTTATATAATTATATTTCAGAATCAAAAAGATTCTCCAGATCTAAGCTCAGATTTATTAGAAGGAGAACATTTCTCTGGTTTAGATGCTTGGGAAAGTGAGGAATGGTTAGCTGGTGCAGAGAGGTATAGAGTGTATGTTAATATCTAGAGATGAAGCACTAAACTAATTATTCAATAGTCAAATTTTGTGGACAATACAGATGGGTTGATGATGCTACGGGTTTAGCTCCACTGTGCATTGATGTATTGAGATCTTGTCATACTTTGGCTTCTAATCTCACTGCTATTGCAGGAACAGTGAATAGTAATACTGTTCCATTGGAAATTGTGGATGTAAGTGTATATTTTTTTAACAAATAGTAACATTTAATATTAATGAGTTTATATTTCTTAGGTTGCCAGACGTATTCCACCTCGTGTTGATGATGTAGTTAGAAGTTTGTATCCATTATTAGATGCAAGGTTATTAGAAGCCAGAGTAGCAGCATTAGTATTGGCTGTTACACATTTGGCATTGGTGACTAAGCACGGAGTCTCCAAAAATCATGCTAGGAAGTTAGCTTTTATTGATCAAGCTTTAAATGATATGGATTCTCATTTATCAATTTTGAGAAATGCTGCATTGGCACAAGAAGTGGCTTGTTCTGTTCCAATTTCAACACCAGTTTAATTTTCAATTTTTACAAGAATTTTCATCAATTTTTTTATTCATGGTTTCAAGTCTTTATAATAGATTTACTAAATATTGCGTGAAATTAAAAATACACGCAATATTAAAAAATATTCTATCGAGTATTTCTGTTTCTTTTTTTATTATGTCAAGATCCAAAATCTAATAGTGCAACTTCGATTTTTCTAGCAACAATATTTAGTGTGTTACATTTCATGTAATTATAATTATTACAAAAATGCATATATACTTTCATGAAATAATATATTAAAAAAATATTGTAAGATATATGAGATATACGGATGCTTCATGCAATTAAGCTAAAATATAACTCTAAAATATTACATTATTTAAAATTTTATAATAAAATTAAAATTGAAATATTTTTTAAAATAATAGTTTAGATATTTAATTAAAATACAAAGAATGAAAAAAAGTATTGCTTAAATTTAATTTAAAAAATAAATCTAAAATTTTTGAAATACCTCTAATTTTAGAATATATATATATATATATATATATTCTAAATATTTTATTATTGTATTATATTTAATTGTTTCAAATAAGATTTCTTTCTATTTTTCATTTTCGAATTACAGTTTAATTGCACGAAACATTTCGTATATAAATTTAAATATTTTTTATAATCAAAGAATACCAGAGTTATAATTCTTGTGAATATGTATGAAATATTAGTCTTCCATGATGTTAATACAAGATCAATATATTTATATAAATATATGCAAGATAAAAAATTTTATTTTGATAGAAACTATGTTATTTTATCGATTATATTAAATATTTATAATTATTTGTACACATCCATATATTTTTTTACATCTACTGAAAATCAAATTAATTTATAGTTAAATATGATTTTTTAATAAAGCTAAATTGCAAGAGAGGAATTCTTAGAGTACTTGTTATGTTTTTATAATACTTCTGTTTTATTTTCGTACTCTGTAGTAATCTATTTATATAAATATATATATGTATATATATATGAGATCTTAGAAATCGATTTAAGATTTAACTTATTATTCTTGAGATGATTTTAAATATCTTTGTGAAAATTTTCGTTTCGGCTTTGTTAACGAGTTATTAAAACACATTGACTCACATATATCCACGATTACTATCGCAATGAAACAGCTTTACATACTTTAATTGATTAGTGTCTTTTATTAGAAATTATAAGTTAAGTCTTATCGATCGACTTCTGAGATATCCTGTGTATATATATATATATACACACACACATACATACATACATATATATATATATATATGTCCAATTTATAATTTCTCGTAATATATAATTAATAATATCGGATCTTCAAATTATAGAATGATAAGATTTCACCGTAAATCAATCTTTGTTGTCACAAAATAATTCACTATTCATTATTTAAATAAATTAGCTAAAAAACTTCGACCACTGATAACGCTACACAGCAGCGCAAAGTCAATGATAGATACGATGAAATGTCCGAAAAAATAAGGACAAAGGCAGTTACTGTAACAGAGAGGGAAAAATATACTTGGAAAGAAAAATAGAGTAGAATAGATTACACATTATTTAGATTATTTGTTTCTGTGCATTTCTTTTTGTCTTTTCTGATTATCACTAAGCACTTTGGTCTTTAGATGTTCTTTATAATCCAAAATATTTCCGCTCCATTTGGTAACTGTACCATTTTCACAAACCCAAATTTCCTCTGCCACCTAACAATAATAGGAAAAAATATTATATAATTTTATATATATATACACATATATATAATGGTTAATGAATGTATATAATTTCTAAAATATTACTACATACTTGATTAATTAATCTGAAATCATGAGATACGAGCACCATTCCTCCATCAAAATCATTAATTGCATCTGCTAATGCATCAATTGTTTCCATATCTAAATGATTGGTTGGTTCATCCAGCAATAATAGATGAGGCACTTGCCAAGCTAACCATGCAAAAACTACTCTACAACGTTGACCATCAGATAATTGTCTAATTGGACATACCTATATAAAACAAAAATTTTGGAAAACTCATTTATTATGTACAATGATTTCAAAAAATATTGACACATCCAATTTATCGAAATCGCAAAAAAAATAATGAGATTTTTTTTTTATCTAATGAAAATTTAAAAAAATATCTTTTATAGATTTATCAATTATATACATGTTAAAAATTTTATAGAACAAGCCAATATTTTTTGAAGTTATTGAATATTTAAATTTTTATAAATAACAATACTTGTTGGCGACCAGTTAATCCATAGCGACCAATAATTTTCCTCATTTCTTCTCTTTCTTTAACATCTGGAAAGGCTTTCATCATATAATCCAAAGGTGACATATCTAGATCTAATAATTCATGTAAATGTTGGTGGTATCTTCCAATTCGAAGGTGACTATTCTTACGTATCATACCGCTAGTTGGAACTAACTATAATTATAAATTAACAGAAAATTATTCAGAAATATTAATTTTATAATTTTTATAAATAGTAATTGATACTATTTTTATAATAATTGAAACTCACATCTCCATATAATAATTTTAAGAGAGTACTTTTTCCAGCTCCATTTGGACCAACTAATGCAATTCTGGTATCTAAATCTATACCAAATTCTAAATTTTTATAAATCCATGGTGAATCTTCATTGTAACGAAAACTAACGTTTTGAACCATTATAACAGGAGGTGGAATAGTTCCGCAAGAGGGAAAATAGAAATTCAATACTTTGTCGTTTACAACTTTTTCCGTAAGACCTTGTGCTACCATTTTTGCTAATGTCTTTTCCTTTGATTGTGCTTGTCTTGCTAATTTTGCAGAACCATGGCCAAATCGTGCTATATAATTTTTCATATGCGCAATTTGATCCTGTTCCCAATTATATTGTTTCACTTGATTCTCCAGTAACTCCATTCTAATATAGAATTTATAATTAATATCTTTTAATATTAGAATTTATTAATATTTTTTTTTATATTTGTTAATCTTAGAATTTGTTATAACTAATACCAATTTACCTTGTCTTCACAAAAGCTTCATAATTACCACTGTAATATTTCAACTGTTTTTTATTAACATGAATGATATTTGTACAAATACCATTAAGAAAATCTTGTGAATGAGAAATAATGACTAAAATTCTTTTATATGTTTTTAATTCTTCTTCCAACCATACACAGGCATCAAGATCTAAATGGTTAGTAGGTTCATCCAATAATAAAAGATGAGGTTTTACATATAATGCTCTATGAAATAACATCATTTATTAAATTTTTATATATTCATTTTTTTATTGATAAATAAAGTCGCTAACCTTGCAAGAGCAATACGCATTCGCCAACCTCCAGAAAAATCTTTGGTAGGTGTCTTTTGCATTTTTGCAGTGAAACCCAAACCATGTAAAATATGAGCAGCACGAGCTTCAGCAGTATCAGCAGACATATCTTCTAACCTTTCATAAACATCCATGAGTTGTTCCTTTTTAAAAAAGATATTTTAAATATTTTAAATATGATATTTTAAATATTTTAAATATAATATTTTAAGTTAAAAAAATCTAATTAAAATATTAATTAAAATAATATAAAAAATAGAAACATACTTGAGCATCTTCTTCTTCACATTCTACTAATTCTTCTGCTAATTTTTCTAATCTTATACGCTCTTCATCTACTTCCATTACACATTCTAAAGCTGTTTTATTACTAGCAGGCATTTCTCTGGTCAAATGAAAGATATCAATCTGATTAGGAATAGGAACTTCTCGATTTCCAAGTACAGCTAATAAAGTAGATTTTCCAGAGCCATTAAGTCCAAGCAAACCATAACGTCTGCCGCAATTCAGTTCTAACATAGTATCCTGTAGTAATTCACAGCCATGGAAAGTAATAGAAAAATTAGATATTTTTATATCTCGACTTCGCGGATGTGAAGCTAATGATCCTGTACACGATCGTGCTTCTGCATTTAATCTTGCATCTGCTTCTAATTTCATACATAATGCCTCTATAAGATAAAAAAATTTTTTATGAATAATTTGTCCAATTCTTAATTACGAAAATTTTAATTAATCTTCTGTTTCTAAAAACAATTTTCAATTTACCTTCCGCACTAATAGGTGTTCCATTGGTTCCATTTTGAATGATTCCCACAGGACTGGATTCTTTACCATCTGCATTTTTGTTCTGATTAATTTGAGGTGGCTTTTTTCCTGACTGTCGAGCCTTAGCAGCTTCCTTCTTTTTTTGCTGTTGCTTTTTTTTTGCATCGGACGGCATGATTCTAAAATTTAACTACACATTTAGAGTGTTTGAACGTAAATCAAGAATTAAAGATACGTGTTATGTAAATCAGAGGTTAGAAATATGAGGGCACATATGTTAGAAATAAATGCAACAGTACAATATCAAATTTGAAATTCAAAAACTTCCATTGCCGTAAACGGCTTGTTATATGAGCCAGATAGAGAATAACATGAAGAAGAGGGGGACAAAGTAGGACGACGGAAAAAGAAAGAGAAAGATAGAAGAGAGAATAGAGGGCCTATGAGATAGAAACCGTGTTTTTTATTGCATTTTTACAATTTCTACGTAAAAAATTGAATAATCATTTGATAAAAATAATCGTATTTGGCTAATGATGATATAAAATAATGAAAATAAAAATACGAGAAAAAGAAAAATGATGAGGAAAAAAGAGACGAAGCCAACATCTAACTAAGACAAGAAACTTCGATTATTCTACGACACTGACCGATGTTAGAAATATATAGAACAATTATATAAGAATTATTCAAACTTTTGTTTTTTTCACATTTTCAGAGAATAGTAAAGTCTTAAAATAACTTCAAAAAATTACCTAATTGTGCGCCAAAAATCGAAATCCGTACAAAATGCAAACACACGTGCATGGATAGAGACAAAACCGTCAAAGCGACGTCGTTTATTGAATTGTTCGGCAGATGGCGATATTCAGTCATGGAACATTTTGCGAGGGAAATAGTGTGCAAAAATTGAAATAATTGTCATTAAACTATAAATATGTAATAATTATAGTTTGCATGGAAAAATTTGCGTGATTTTATATATTTCATAGAAGTTTAGAAATATACATAACTAAAAAAAGGCAAATATTGAAAACATAAAGATTTTAGAATATGGGAAAAAATCAGGTAATTTAAATATTTTAAATTACAAATTTTCAACTCTTAATAAAAAAAAATATATATATATTTCTAGTATTTCATAACTATTCATTTTTAATAGTTAGTTGAATATAATTTTTATGTTAATAAAAAATTATATAAGAAATTGATTTTTCGGTATTTTAAAGCATAAAATTTTATAAGATGACATGTCTATACTGTATTTTGTATGATTCTTTATTATGTTACAAGTGAAAACATTATCGTGCATCGAATATGATATTCCAAATTATTACTTACCTTTCTAAGGTACATATTATCAAAGACATCAAAAAAGCGGGAATATAAAATGTTAACTAATATCTAAAGAATATTTAGTTTATAATATTTATATAATACTTATAATAGAAAGAATACTGAAGAAATATATGAACATTATTTTGTCATTATTTTATAATCAAAATCATACTTTATATAATCTCTTATATTTATTTTGTAACTTCTTATCAACGAAGTTAACAATTATTGTGACAGAAATTGAATTTAATAACTGTTATGACTACAATGATACAAATTTTTATTTATGGACTTTTTTATTAAAAAAAGTTTAATAATTACGAAAAGTTTTTTGTATTAATAGATTTACTAGAAGTATAATATTAATAATACTAATATCAATTAATCATGTTATTATCTTCAATTAATTTTTGGCACTTATCTGTTTTGATACAATTATATTTATAGAAATATTAAAATAATTCTTTTGTCATAATTGACAAATATTCAAATAATATATAATATTCCGTGATCGGTATTAATTTTGAAAATTTTCTTTATTTTGTATAGGAAGTATGGTGTAACTTATTTGAACATTACAAAGAAATATATAACTCAAAAAATATTGGAGAATATTTTAGAACAATAGATTCTTCATGTTATTAATATTCAATGAAAAATTATATGAAATTGAATAATCAGGATTTTATCTGAATTCTATCTAAAAAATCGACATAGTGATTCAAACGACGAGAACCGGTTAAAGACATGTGGTCTGATGAATGAATGAATGGATAAATGTCAGCTGCGGTAGAAACGGTAAAAGAAGAGACGGACTTGCGCCTCTATGAGTCCGAAGTCTATTGGAGGGGGTGAAGAGGATGTAGGATGTAAAAGGGTGAGGGGTTACTGGCTTAATTGCACCGCATCACAGAACGTAGTATTTCGTAGTACGTAATGGTAGGGGTAATGCGTTCTCGGTCGTCCTCGTCCTCGGCGGCGTCGTCGTTGCCGTTGTTATTCGTATGAAAGCTGCACGCTCACCTGGATCAACGTATGCGTATCAGGACGGTATCTAGTCAAGTATTTCTTCAAAAAAGGAACAAAAGGAAAGAAAATATTTAATTTTTATTCTTTCATTTTTAGAATAATTTTTTAACACGCACATATATTTAAATTATAAATTTCTGACTAATTACAACTTGGACAAATTTTTTCTTGGAATAGAATTTTTATTTTTGATTATTTGTAGTCAGATGTTTCCATAATAAAAATTTTATATCTTTCAATTTGATTTAATTTAAAAATATATGCTTGAACATCTTGAAAATATGAATGATTTTATAATCTTGATTTAAGGGAATATTATAAGCTAATTTTGTTGTTAAATAAAATGTAAGTATTTTATTAGTTCCGAAATAATTATAATTTTGTTTTTCAATATTTTTATTTTTCCTTTTTTTTTTTTTAACTTTTAATGTAAATGATTAAAATAAAATTTTTTCAATATAATATTTCTTTCTACTTTTAGAAAATTAATTTAATAAAATCATATTTGTCTTTAGTAGGATGTCAAATTGTCAATTAGCCGATAATACGAATAATATGAACCAATCGGCAGAATGTGCTTGACGAATATAATAATTGATCAATTTTTAATGATGCAAATCTCTCTTAGAGAAATGACACGATGAAAGTGTTTTTATAGAAATAGCACAAATAAAAAAATGAGAAATTCTTTATTGTATAATATTATATGATTAAATAATGGAATTATTTTTTGTTTCTGATGTAAGTATAATATTGAGATTGAAATAATATCTTCTGAATATATTCATTATTTTTTCAAAAGATTATAAGATATCGATTTTCAGTCATGACAATAATTAACAATATTATGAACCACAAGTTATGTGTTTGAATTAGAACCATTAGAATTAAAATAGTTAAAATAGAGAATCATAAATATGAAAAACATTCTATGTTTTTTTTTATTCACATCTTATATAAAATCAGGATTACCAAGGGAATTGATACGGTCCTGGTGGCTCGTGTGCGTGACGTGGAAAGCACACGTTCATACTGCTCGCGTGTCAGTTACCGTAACCCTCGAGTACATATCGGGGATTTCACGGTGCACGGGGTCGCAGTTGAAAAGGAGCTGAAAAAAGGTGTGAATGCCGGATGGCATTCATTCAAATGCCGTCCAATCACAGCATCGTACTCCAGGTCGAGTAGCAGGGCCGGCATAACATTGGGAATTATTAACTCAATTCTTTCTCTTAGATTAACTCAAATCAAGAAAAAAAAATGTTTAAAGGATAAAAATATTTTCCAAAAAGAATATTGAGATTAATACTATAAAAGTTGAATATTATAAATCTTATTTTATTGATGATTGATCTGCAAAAAAAAAAAAATGGAAAAATTTTAAAAAGAAAAGAAAACATGAGAAATAGTCCAAAAGGAAAACTGGGAAAAGAGAATTGAAAACAAAATTTGGAAATTAAATTAAAAAATTAGGAATATGGAAAATATAGATATAGAATAAATTAGATATAGAAATATAGATAAAGAATAAATTAGCATTTTTAACTTTCGTTAAATCATAATGTATAAAAACATTTCATTTTGAAGATTTTAAAAAAAAAAAGATAAATTATCATTTTATATTGAATTTTCAGTTGAAAAGAATTTAATAAAATGTAATGCTAGATGTTAAAAATCATATTAAAATTTATGAATCTATTAAAGAGAATCTAATTTAAATTCATAAAATCACCATCTTTCTGGCAAGTATTTTTAACACTAAGTAGTTTCTCCATTCGATTCAAGCCAGTATAATCGAATTGAAAATAGATCATTTAGGTTTGATGATGGAAATCACAACGAAGAGAAAACGATTTAACATTAGAACATCGGAGCCTTGTGAATCATTTGAATGAATTTCTTCGATAATCAGCTTTCTATTCCTTTCTTCTCGTGCGAATATCCAAGGATAAGAGGTGATTCTTCTACTTAAGAATTAATAGAAAGGGAAACGAATTGACATTGATTGAACGAAGATTTAGAAAGTATCATTCACTTTCTTAAATCTCTCTCAATTTTTCTTCAGTATTTATCACAAGTTATTTAGTAAATGAAAAAAAATCTAAAGTATAATTCGAATAGATTTGTTCAAAATCTTTTTTTAGAATAAAACAAAGTAAGATAAAAAAAATATATATATATATATATAATATATAATGAAAAAAATATTGTCAGTATTTTATAATAATTTTTAATCTATTTTAATTTTCAATCTTTTTAGGATTTAATTTTATAATCATATTTTAATCTTTTTGGGATTGTACATAATAATTTAATAGATTAATAACATAGTAACCATTAAATAATTTTCCAAAACAATTTAATGAACATTTATTGAATGTTAATTAATTTCTTTCATTTATTGTGCAATTTCGATTTTCTGATTTTTAGATACTTTTTCAATTTCTATATATTGCAATAATTATCAATAATGTTATTAACAATTATTAACAATATTGATATTATTAATTGATATATAGACCCTTTTAATTTGATCAGTAAGTAGGTTTAAGATTGATCGAATTTTCTATTGAAACTGACAGAGATATTTATACATAAATTAATTAAAAAGCAAATAACTTTCATCGATCTTCAGTGATCGTATCATTCCTTTTTTTTTTTTTTTGCGTTTAATTGCTCGTCATGAGAACGAACTTCGGATCTGAATAAATTTAAAAACTATTCGCAGGAAATTTTATTAAATAGAAACTCTATGATGAAACTTGATGATTCTCGTTGTCATTCTGTTTCTATTCTGATCGTAAAATTGCAATTTTTTTTATTACAAATTTTAAATAATAAAAAATATATTAATATTTGTTGTTTATTTTTCATAAAATAATTGTTAATAACATTTTTAATCCATAATTTTATAAATCTTACATTATGCCATTATTCATATGTATACGTGTTTCATTCTTAATTCTAATTTTTGTTAATAAAAGATATTATTTTTCAGGAAGATGAAGAAATGAAAAAGTTGAAGAAATTGATTTGATTGATGAATTTCACGTTTTTTTTCATCACAGATTTAATATATGACTTCTAACAAAATAGTATAACAATTGCTATCTGATTGTAATTTTATAGTTTTGAAAAGGAAAAAAAAAATTAAGTGACAGAGGTGGTAATCATCAGAAGTATCTCAGAAGTAATATAATTAGCTATCTTGGCTATATTGAGGTAATAGTTTATAATATTTTGTAAAATTGTGATTTTATAACATAATTTTTGGAAAATCATAATATCAAACTTTAACTGAACGGAAATTTTTACAATATTTTTAATAAAATATTAATTTTAGATCAAATCAAAGAAAAATTATTACGGAAGAATATTACACTTTTAAAAATTGTGAAAAAATTTAGGAGACATTCTATTGATTGGAACATCTTTCATAGTCTCAGAATAATTAAAAACATCTGTTGGAGGTAAAAACCAACTAGAAGAAGAACTGTGGTTATTCTAAAACTGATAAGCATTATTTTGTATGAAAAATTAGATTATTAGAAATTACTATTTACAGGAAAACAAGAAATTTAATATAACTCGAAAATATATGGAGAATCGACGTAACATTATGAATATATTTTTTTGTCATTATCGTCGTATCCTATTCAGAAAGAGTAGAAGAAAAGAAAAATTTTCAACATCTGCATGTAAGGATTCGATAAGAACGACTAGAAAAAGTCAGAACTCGTTGCACAGTGGTATAGAATCAATTTACTAGGTGAATTTATATTTTCATAAAAGAATTACTATCTTTTCTTTTGCTATCAAATTTCTTTGTCCATTTTTTTCTTGAACTCCATGAATATCATATTAAATTTATCAAATGAATATTTGTTATTTGAATTCTTTTGCTTCATAATTTATTTTTGGTCCTTGCTTTATAATTAATAATATTGAATTCATAAATTACTTTATTAATATTTAATATTTCAGCCAATTAAACAAAAATTATATATAATGCAATGGAAAGAATTTTATAGATTAAAATTTAGTATTTATAGATTAAAATTTAGAAAAATATATATATATAAAGATCAATGCAAATATTTATTTAAATTTTGATATTTATATATAATATATATCAAAATATATATAATTATTTTAACAATATAAATTAATATATTTATATATTTTAATAGAAAATTTTATTCAAATAACTCATATTATTTGAATTATGAAAAAAAATTTATGGTTTTCATGTTTAAATCTTGTACAACTTGTACATAATGAAAGATAATACATATACATGTATCAAGAATATTTAATCAGATTAATTGGTATTTAATATTAAATACATTTTCGTTATTTTGATAAGCCAATTGAAAAAATCGTTCGATATGAGAAATTTAATTTTATATACTATCTTAATAGCTTTGTATAATTACTACAAAAATCGTACATCATCATATTCATTGCAAAAAGAATATATTTAAATCTTTATTTAAACAGATAGAACTGAATCGATGTGAAAACAATTCCGAAAATTTGAAAATAAATCGATTTGAAAAGAATTCGCAGAAAGCATTCAAATAACCTGTTGCATCAAGTCAGGAAAAAAAATCAAAAAATCGTTCAGTCAACTGACATCCACAAGAATCAATAAACCCATTAAGTTCGATGAAATAACCATATTCAAACGCTAATTGCTATTACAAATGCCTTTTCTCTATTGTTCAATAAAAAAATTTCATTTTCTTTTATAGGTTCGTTATTGGTTGACTTCTTTATTTTCCCAGAAAAGAAAACAAAATTCTAAGAAAAAGAAAAAAAAATCAAAAGAAGATAAAAAAATAAAATCTTATTAAAATATTTCATTTTTCCATTCACAACTTCGTTTTGATTGATCATTTTTCAACAAAAAAAATTCTCAAGAAAATCAAGAATTTCTCAAAAGAAAAAAAAAATGAAAAGACGAAAAAGAACTCGAAAATCGACCTCGGTCCGGCGGAAAAATTGATTCAGCACAGTCTGGAGAGTCATGGCGAGTATGAGAGAAGAGCTGGGGGCGCGTGTGCGCAGTTCTCTTAACCAACATGTCCGCCCGGGTGCTCTGGATAGTCATGGTTATGCAGCGCGATCCGTTACACATCTTCGTCAGCTGAATCCTTGGTTTTTGTACTGCATACATCCGCGAGGTGCGTGTATTGTAAAAGAGGTTGGCTTAGAGTCCAGTCTCTAAATCTTTGCCTCCTAGTGGAGGATTACCTCCAGGTTGAGCCGGTTGTGATTCCCGGCAGTGCACGAGGTGCGAGCAACCACGGGGATACTGGAGCCGTGGCACGACGAATAGCCAGAGTACTCAAGAGAGTGGAGAATCGCGGGAGAACCAGGGAGAGACAGAGACAGGTAGATCCTTACTAGCGGTGAAATACGAAGCGGGAAAGAGAGGGAGAAGCTTGAGGCAGGCGCGCGTATTGATTCCCGCGTGACGTTTATACGGTGAGGTGAGAAAGCTGCAACCGGAAGAGTCGTGCCGTTTCCTTCGCCGCTGAAAAACTGAACGGGGAAGATACGGATTCGAGCAACAATTTGGAGTTCCTCGTTTTTGAGCCTTGTCCACTGGAAGGTACGTTATGTACCAGTGAACACAACCTGACTGGTCATTTTGATTCATTCAATAAAGCTTGTTTAAGAGAGAGTCAACGACACGCGCGTTTTCCTCGAGGGGAGAGAAAGGGAAAGAGGGTGAGAGAGAAAAGAGTAATATGTTTGTGTGTGTGTATGTGTGTACAAGCATATGTGTGTTAGTAAGAATTGAGGGAGGGTCGGTTGAAGACATTCTCGAAAAAGGGTATATCGATCCGGTGGTCCGGGACTATTGGCTCTGGCACGCCACCACGAAATCGTGCTTCACTCGACCCTCTTCCTTTTCTTCACGCTTCTTTGGGGGTGTTTCTATGTTCTTTCATATTCTATATTCCGATCTTACCTACTTTTATTATTTATTCTTTCTATTTGTTTTTATTTGTTTTCATTATTTATCATCTATTTTGTTTCATTTCTTTTTAAATTTGTAATTTAATTCTTTTTTTTTATAAATTTTAGATAAAAAATAATTTGTATTTGTCATTATATTTGCCCGTGCATATTGATAAATATTGCTCGATATATATCCTAACGAATATAGTGAAGAAAGACGAACAAACACCTTCCTGGCTGCTGCGATGCTCCTGTTACTCTCGTCACTCGCCCTTAAACGTATCCCTTATCGATCCAGGCCCGGCTACACTGCCATACAATTCGAAATTGCGCTTCACGAGCTTCTTCTGCGTTCATTGCCGCCTTATCGACCCTTCTGGCATCTACTTTTCACAGTTAGAATCACTTCTTCTTTCCCTTTACCGGTATCACCCTTTTTAAAATCTTAATAAATTCCAGCTTATAAAATAAAATTACAAAATAAATTTAAAATAATTATGTGTTTTTTTGTTTTTAGAATATTTCAAATATAACATATTTTAATATTATTAAATATTATTTTTAGAAAAAAGAAATTAAAGTTTTTTTGGAGGTTTTCTTTTCACATATCATGATGTCTAAGTGGTTTTACACAAGGAAAATCCATAATTAGAATAACGACACCCTTAGGACAAAAGTGGAGGAGAGTATTAATAACTTTATTATCTACCTTCTGTAACTTTCTCTAAAGATTATGAGATCATTAACCTGTATATCTTTTTCCATATCTTTTCAAAAAGCAATAGATTTTAAAGTGCAGGATCAAAATTGATTATTCATGACATTCTGCTCTCTTTAATTAAAATATTTAATTTTCTTAACTACACTATCATTTCAAAATATTTAAGAAAACTAAAATTTTATCATTTCTTTTGATTTATTTTCACTGGAATAAATAAATTAAACTGTCTCTAGGTTTCTAAAATATTTAAAATTAATTGACTTCATTTGAAAAAAAGATATATAGAATTTCAAATAATACAATATATTTTAAAAAATATATTGAAATATTATTAAACAAAAAGTTAGAAAGTCAATATTCTTCTTTAATTAAAAAGGGAAAAAAATTTTAAATAAAATAATTTAATAGCAAAATATCTTTCCTTAGATGAGTCGGCTTAGTTGGTTAGTTAGGCTTAATCCGGCTAAGAATTATATTTTTCCGTCTACTGGCTTTATGTTTCTTCATTCACGAAAGCTTCTCCTTGTGTCTTCGGGATCGATAGAATGTGAAATGGAAAGCGAAATTGGAGAATGAAGTTCAGGAGAACTAGTTGAATGTCGACAGATCTTGTTGATTCTTTCTCCGAGTACAACAATAACTACTTACATTACAGATTGCAACTCTTGATCAATACTCAAAACAATATTTTCCATTATAGAGATTTTTTAGAGAATTCTATAGATACTTCATAGAAATATGTTTTTAAAAATATTCAGTAATTCATTTTAGGAATTATTTTTATTTTTAATTTATTTCATTAAGATGTATTTTTTATGTGGAATAGTTGTATGATATATATGATCATTATTCTATTTAATACAAATTTCACATCATTCCTGTCACCATACTCTATTCAGAACAAATAATAAATGAATCAAATAATAGAAATGGAAGGAAGATATTTCAAGTATTGTTTTGCATGTCATGCAATATACTATGATCAGTAAAATTATTTGCTGCCAATTATACATAAAATTTATATCCATTTTATAATTATAATTATTTAATCAAATAAAAAAAAATTATATTAAATATATGTTAATTCTACTATTCTATTTATTAATATAAAACAATAATTAGTATAATTTTATATATCAATAATTAATAAAATCCTTCCAACTATCGACATGGTATGAACATTTCAAGCAAAACAAGAAATGAAGGATAATTGAGATGTCATCCAGAGGTTGACTAATATCACATGGACCAAACAGCGATCGAACCGCCCTTACGACAAAGATTTTGCGCAGTAGTGGGTGTCCCCTCTTTTATTTAACGACGTCTATACACACGTTCTCGCGCAGTTTGAGACCGCGCTTGTCCCCCCGTGGAAGTCGTCACCACCTCTTAGTCCCTAACAGAACGAAAAATCGTGCCGCGATGTCGGGCGTTAAGTGCCGTGTACGACGTTGTTAAGTTACGCTTGGCGTGAGTCGGTGTAGTTAATCTCACGTGCACGTGCGCGTGTCTCTTCTCGTGGATAACTTTTTTTTAGTTCATACTCTTTTTTTTCCTCTCTTTCCTTCCTTTTAACGAGCTGTTATAAAAATTGCGCCGATTCTGTGTGAGATATCTGGTGAATTATAGATTGTGTTTGTGAAATATCACAAAATCATCTGCAAAGAATTTGGTTGAATTTTTTTTGGTAAAGTTTGTTGATCATGAAAATTTTGATTATTTATATAATCAGTTTTGATTATTTATATAATTTATATAATTATATCTTACGTATACTAATGTTTAGAATACAGTGGCTGATTTAAAAGTTATTAAGATTTATGCAAATAGATAGATTATAAAAGATTTGTTAATTTTTATTTGAGTTAAAAATGATTTGATTGGATTAGATTAAAGCGATAGATAGATAGAAAGAAATTTGTATATATATTATTTAGAGAGTAATTTATGTTAAATTTTGAATATTTAAGATTGAAAAATTTTCATTTTGATATAAATGAAAAGAAAAAAGGAAATTTTTAAAAATTAATTAAAGGATTAGCGCAGAATTGAAAATTTTAGTACAATATTTAAATTATTATTAAAAAATATTTTAAAAAATATAAAATTGAAGTACATGTGTATATTATTATTAGTATATGTAGTTATAATATTATCTTTATTTTGTTATCAAATTATATTATTTGAATTACTTATTGAAATATTTGCAATTTTGTTTGCAATTGTTTATTAAAAAAATAAGTAAAAGAACGTTGATCAAAAGGACTCCTCGAGTTTTATCTAATATTGAAAGCTCTTTTGCTTAAACGCTGACGTTTCTCCATGGAGATGTCTGCAGACTCAAGAGTCCGGGAAGCTTTATTACCTCTCTCAGCCTGCCGAAGTCAAACGCTTTCAAAGTTTTCGAATTTTCACGTAGTGCTTTTAAACTTCTTCCATGACTTCCAAGAATTTGAATTACGAACACCTATTAGAATATGATCCTTCAAAAACTTTTTTATTTAAAATCAAAACTGTATAGTTTATTAGATAAAATATTTTTTTCCACTATTCTTTATTGTTTATATAATACACTTTTTGCTTATTGTTTTATAATATATATATATTTATACACATACATATATATATCATAATAAATGTGAAGAGTTTTTTTGAAATTTCAGAATTATCTTCATTTTCTTTAATGGTTTTGTAATAAGATAGTTTGCTCTAAAAATATCTATTTTATGAATACTTATTAATTTTTTACTATGCACTTCATTTTTTTTTTAATAATTAGACCATCATTATAAAATGAAGTAATAAATACATGTAAATTAATATTTATATATATATATAAATATTAATTCAATAATTAAAAATCTCACTGATATATTCACTTACTAACATAGTTATTTTTATATTGCTTCAGGAGATCAGTGGACCAAAATGAGAGAGGTCCAAGTCTGCTCGAGCAGGGACCCGTTGGCCCTTCGCGCGAGAAATGATTTTTAGAAGGTATCGATCATGTCGTCCTTTTTTATCTCTCTTTTACGATGTTCTTTTTTTATGTTTATTTTTTTAAGTGTGCCCAGAGAATTGCATCAGCCGGAAATTACTCTGGAAATACGAATCAATCTGCATGTAACAGTTTCGAGGGCATTATTTATTATTATCGTTTTCTCTTTTGTGATATAATATGATATATATTTGTGTAAAACAATCATTATACAGCAGCCTTTATGGGTTCGAATATATTTAAAAATTATTTTTAAGAATCATTTTTCAATATTGCATTGAAAATGAAAGTTATTCTTGATTAATCTCACTCTCAATACAATATTCATTTGCGAGAAATATTCTGGAAAATAATTCTTTGAAAGTTTTATTCTTAAATATATTTTCTATCTACATCACAAGGGTGCGTTGAAACTCGAAAATAATTATTACTCCCAATATAATAGCTTTTAACAAGAAATAATTTTCTAAAACAAATTTCTAAAGAATACTTTTAAATATATTCACACCCTTAAATCATGCTTGCTTTGAATAATTTTATTTTCGTGATCCAATGTCTACATTATTTTTTTATCATTTTCGACGGATAATATTAGATAACAAAAATTAGATAAGTACAAGTTTATCGATACTCACTTTCAATGTGCCATATTTCACAAGAGTTAAATATATGCTTTTTTGAACATGCTTTTTTTTACATGTTCTGATTATATTTATGATTACGGACAATTACCCACAACTGGTTGATTTGGTTATTGGAATTATTGGATAATTGATAATTAAAATTTTTTACTTATTATTTTCTTAAAATCTTAAGATGTTTTTATATCAGAGTATTGCGATTTATTGACTTGATTGTTTTTAATTAACTATGACTGAGTATTAACTTTTTTAAAATCATTCTTTTTCTGTAAAAATATTTAATGGATAGGTTAAAATAAAATATAAAATATATATTGTAGTTTGAATTTAGAAATATGGATATAGAAAAAAGATTTTAAATCTCTGCAATTTTGAATCAGAAGTATTTTTTTGTTCAAAAATATTGCATGAACATGCGAGCTTTTGAAGATTTATACAAGGAAAATCCATAGGGAGCATGACTGTTTACCATTGCACGTGCATCATTATGCCGCACGTTTTTTCTCGTACAAGTATTTCTCTGGAACACGTTCTCTGTCAGGAACATCGCAAGGGACCGATTGGTCGTTTACTCGAGAAATGTAGCGATGTTGTTTATAAGCCTGCATCAAGCTATTCAGGAATAAAAAGATGTAGTAGACCAGCAAGAGGAATTTTCTACATGGTTTAAATTCTAAAATTTATAAGACATTAAAAGTCCTTTAATGTTTATCATTTTCTTCTTTTTTCTTTGCATTATTTAGCAATAATTATTCAAAAAAAAAAAATGGCATTCTTCTCAAATTATAAGATATATCTATCTTTATCTTTATATCTATCTTTATATATAATATTCAAATAAGTATTTTCAATTTTATTCCTATAAAAGATGTGAAAAATTAAAGTAGATTAGAGATATTCTTTAAATTAAATAATAAAAGTATATCTATAAAATATATCTATATATAATGTGATTATATTAAAATAAATAAGTCATTAATTAGAAATGATAGCAATGACTTCTTTGTGGGCTATGATTTATGGATTGAAAACCATTGATTTTCTTCCTTTTATCAATTATCATAAATTTTCTAATTAAATTCAAAACATTAAATAATTGTTATGATCATTGTTCGAAAAAAGTTGAAACTTTGCATAAAATTATATCTAATAAATCATTTCTATATATAAAGGGTCAACTTCTAGAGAATCCATGAAAAGGATGAGGTCAAGGTTATACCATACCGGGTGCACGCAGTCGAAGATTTTATTGATTCTTAATGAATCAACACGAGCTTGACATAGAATGTGTCGTATGAATAGTTCCCTTGATTGAATTGAAGACCGAGACATTCGGTCGGTGATGGACGTGGCTTATGAGATTCCTAGCATAATTCTCGGTAGCCCTAGGTCAACTGTGATTGCGCACAGCCACGTAGGATCGATTATTCGGTTACCGTAAAACGGGTTAAAAGCATGAAGGCTGTTTTGTTTCAACCCTTATCCATTTGGTGATTTAATTACACTATATATCCTGGTCATACCTCATTCCTAATATTTTTTCATTGAGATTAAATTCGAGGTTAAGTTACGTTTTATTTTGGCCTTTATCTGATCCACCTGATGATTTAGATACACATCCTTGTACCAGTTGCATCTTGTTTCTGACAATTTTTCAAGTGGGATTTATATCAAAATTAGATTGATTCAGTTCGGATTAATTTTATATTTAATTTAATATTCTGCAAAAAGTCGTAAAAATTTATATTCTTCGAATTTTTATAATTAATATTGAAATTCTCAATTAATAGATTAATTAACGATCCATGTATCATACAATTTTTAAACACAATTTTTTCAAATATCTAAAAAAACAGAAATATTTAAAGTTAAAAAAGGTTATCTTCTCTTTGGGAGAATATAATTAATATTGAAAATTAAAAATTATTATTAGTAAAAAATTAAAAGTTACTTGGTAAAATTTTAATTCCTCTAAAATTATATTTTTACCAAAGTTAAGTTAGAACGAAGGCGATAAAATTTTATTTATATATTAACCTGAATTAATATTTTTCGGTTGTAGAATATTCCAATAAAATGACAATATTAGAAGATCAGATACATGAAGAGTAATCCAATAACTTCATTCACTAGGTATTCAATTACTTGGAGCGTGTTAATTTATTAATAGTGGATGGATCCATCCATCAGTTGCTAGATGATTGAATGATTTTAATTTGGCACGCGATATGATGACCTCATTCTATATTACCTCCCGATGGTATCCTTCCTTTGGCATTAATTCTACCTAAAAATAGATGTCGCCACGCATCTCGATTATCGAGATTTTCGATCCTTTTCTCGTTATCGATTTTATTGCATTCGACGCGATATCGAAATTAATTTTTAATAACGTAACTGTGCAACTGTGATTAAATAAGAATTCATTAATTAATTCTCATTCATTGATTTCACTAGTGTAATTGTGTTCTTCGAAGTAGATTAAAAAAGAGAAATCTTTTTTCAATTGATTTTTCGGATATCTGGAGAATTTTATCTTATTTTATTCTGTTGTAATGATATTAATATAATAGTAATTATCAATATTAATATATTTGAAAATGAGGTATGTTACTGAAAGTTTTTTGTAAAATTGTATATTTATATCGTTCTTTAATAATAAATGATAATTTTTAGTAGTACTTAATGTAGATAAGAAATTTGTTTTTTTCTTAGATTCTCTACGTACTCTTTCTAACTTGGATAATCCATAAGACAAAAAAATGGCAGAAATATGACTTGTTAGGAAAAATAAAAAAGAAAAAATGATCTTCAATTAATCCACTCATATAAAAAAATATCAATAGTAAACAAAGTTTTCGTAATCGATTTGAACGGAAGTTGTAAGTAATAAAATAAAAACGAAAAATATAAATTACGAAAAATACTTCGTACTGAAATATAGTAATTATTGTACAAATGCAAAAAAGTAAAATAGACATCAAAAGAGAAGTGTTATAAAATATATGTAATAGTGATATATGATTACTTATACGGTGTTCATTATATATAAAGATTATATAGACATTGAAAATGTGTAATAGTGGATTCCTCCCTGATATGTATCGATCGATCTGTCCTGGTTTCCTAAGGAAAAGAAAGGGGTGGCGACTTCTGGCATCCTTAACTTCAACAAAAATTTGCGATTACGAGACTGTTTTGCTAACAAAGTGCATTAGCTGAACAGGCAACATCCTGTGGAAGCCTTTTAGCAATAACGTGTTACATAACGGTAAATGCTTTTGATAGCGTTGTGTGTCGTGCCGGAGGGGACGTATGAAGATTCCGAAATTCCTATGCGCTCTTAAGCTTTCATGTCTTATTAATTAATTCTTGCGGTCAGGTTTCCTAATTCTTGAAGAAACTAATTTAGGGATTGAACGAACCAAGTTAACATATAATTAAGCTATTAAAAAGAAGGAAAATAACGATGAGAAAATTTAAGAAAAAATTGGAAATTTCAGGATTTAAAACTTGAAAATTGTAAAATTCGAGGAATTTTTAAAAATTGAAAATTTTTGTAAAAAATCAACTATAATTTCCAATATTTTTTTCACTTATTTTTTAAAATGATTTCTATTTATAATCTCTTTTTCCACTTTTCATGGATTTTTTAATAACCAATTTGTTGCCAATTTCAGGAAGAGGGCATGACGCACCGAACTCATGCAGTGGCGAAAACACGTGCGCATCAAGTACGGTGGTCGAGTCGGTGTCGGTCAAGGACAGCGGGAGCGGGAGCAGGTGCAGCTGCAGGTGCGCGTGGTGCAGCTGCAGCGGAAGGGGGCGCACGACTCAGCTACGTCTGTCACCAGCCTCAACTCTCGTCGACGGCTCGCCGCAGCTGCAGCACAGCAGCCATGCTCTGCTGCGGCCGCAGGAAAGTGAGTATACACTACTTTTAACATTTTCAAGATGTTACAACACACAGAATCTTTAAGTAAGAAACGATGTTGCTTTGTATGAAAAGTATGAAAACCCACCGGTTAACATCAAGTTGGGATCAAATTTAAAATTAATGGCTTTGAAATAATGATAGTTGAAGTTTGATTATCATTCGAATTTCATGATAATCTACGTTTGCTACTAAAGATCAATAAGATTTAGGAAAAATAGAATTTTACTTGAAATTTATCTAAGTCTAATATCTATCTTCAAAGTGTATTTGCTATAAGATTAAATCATTATATGTATATTTATATTTATTTACAATGATGCACATAAAGTAAAGATTGATAAATTTACTTCCATATGTCTTTAATTGTATGTATAATTATTGTGCTCGATTTACACTGGCCAACTCTATCGAATGGCTTGAACATGATTGTATCTTGAAATTAGATTAATCGAGTCATGTGCTCTCACGTGCATGTTCAATTATAGTTATAGGTCAGTATCACGTGGACATTTATTTTAAAAATTCGTATAATGCTGCATTGTTTTAATGTAAAGGAATTTAAAGTAAAACGGTATAATTAATACATATTTTTTATATTAGTAAAAAGTCAGAAGACAAAAATAATTATGAACAGAATTATAAGAGCAAACTTTATACGATTGTAAGATTTTTTTAAAAATTATTTTTCAACAATGATAAAAATATGCGATTATATGTTTTTTCCTCGCCAATAGGATAAAACGTTTTACAGATAAAAAAATTAAAATTAACGTAAAAAGAAGTAAATCAAAGTAAAAAAAATTCAAAATAAAGAGATTGAAAATGGAAAAATTCATGGTCGAAGAATTCACTATGGAAAAAATTCAAAAATATCCAAACTAGAAAAAATTTCGTATGGTTTTGGCATCCCTTGGAAAAAATTCATGAATATTTTTTTCCCCCCTCATACGAATTTATTCGTAGACACAACATCGTGACGCTGGGAGCACGTGCATTTTTTTTTTCTTTTTTTTTTTTGATTTCAATATCCTTATTGATATTCCAAGTGAAATATCAAATTTTCGGTGAATGCGTTACATGGAAATTGAAAACATAGTTCCGATACACGCTGAGTACATCGGTCTGTTATAAATCAATATCGAGATACGGAGTGGAACAGGTCGGCTTTTATCATATATATTTGTCACACTCTCGCCCACAAATATCCGGTAGCTTGCCATTATTTTCTATTCTATTCGATGATACGAGACCAGCCAAATAAACGTGTGTATATCCACCATTGATTTTCAAATCATCGTAACAATCGTAGATGATCACTATTTATGTTGTTATGAAAGATTTAAAAATCAGAAACACGACATTCCACAAATATAGATATTCTTATTATATTTATATATATATAACACGTGTCATAGATTTTTTTTTTTTAACAATCGAAACTTTAAAACTCAAAGAGTTTCGTATTATGCGAACCTCGAAACTTTTTACTATTATTTGTTATTAAACATTCTTCAAATTTGGATAAAGAATATATTAAAATAATATAAAAAATAATTTCTAAAACTTCACAAAGAAATTCGTGGAATTTTCGAATTCAAGAATTTCGCGAATCTAAAAAATCGGTCTCAATTTATTTTTAGATTTTTTTTTTTTAATTTGACACGATTCAAAAATGAATGAAAAAAAGAATAGTAATCAATAGAATAGTAATAATTAGAAACAATGAAAAGTATCGCTATATTTTTCGACATTGTGTCAATTTTTTTCTCATGACGAGCGTGGAAAATCGGTAAATCGTCTTTTGAAAATGAGTCATGCGCACAAGTTCAACGGGAAGAGAAGACAATGGATGGACAAGACGGGGAAGAATAGACGGTACGTGGCAGCTACATTGCCATGTCATTTTTATATTGTTCTTCTCGAAAACAGCCCCCGGTCTATCCACGGCCTGGAAATGGTTTACACCCAACCTGCAGATTTCGTAATCTATTATTACGAAACGTTTATTATCTACTCGCGTTTATGCTTTATTAAATCCTCCACATAACAGATTAAATTTGATCAACTTCGATTATGAATTTTTGGCTGTGTTTTCAATATTGTAATAAATATGAAATAGTTCTTTTAATTTATGTATAAATAAATTTAGGATATCATAATTTGTTGATATTAAATCTATAATTTAGTTCTGCAGATTTAAAACGTGAAATAATCGAAATATTTAATGTGAAAAAATTCAAGACGAAGAAATTCAAAAATGAAGTTCGAAATAGAATGAAAAGAGATCGAGCATGGAAAAGATTTCGACGAATTCAACGTGAAAAAGTAGCATTCAGTAAGAAGGTATCAAGCATACCTATGTGGCAGAATTGTTCACCATGCTAATATAAAACGTGTCACTTTACCTTTATAGAAAATATCCAAATATTATACTAACATAAAGAAAAGTATTTCCTAGATATAAAAAGCATCACGTTATAAAGGGGAATCCCTTATGAACATAAAACTCGGAAACATTTAATTTTCATACTTAAGTCGGAATATTCATGTTCTTTTTTCTATTGTTGAAAATTCTGATCGACTTGTTAATATTCATAATATCGAGACAGCGATATTTCATCCCTTGCTATTTTGTTCTCGATTTGTAAACGCGATGAAATAGTTGTAGATGGACAGAAAAGGAAAAACAAGACACTAATGGCGGCGCGAATGTAAAGAGAATGGCCAAATGTCGTGGTAACGACGAATAAAACTGTCATGGATACAGCAAGACGAAGTGGCTCACGGACAAGATTATTTAAATTCCACTAATGACGTCATTAAAATAATAAACGATATCGTTTAGGCGACTCTTCCACGGTCAGAAACTATCTGGGAAAACTTTCTTCTCGACGCCATTTTATATCGAAAATTTTTCGCCTGAATTCGATTTCCTTTTACTTTATCGATTGTCGTTTCTAGAAAAAATTAATTTTCAATCGTATGTCAAAAATAAATTCAATAATTGTTGATTTGAATTGAAAAAAATCAATTAATTATTATACGAAAAATATTTATGCATGCATCATTGTATTTATATAAATCATATAATTGTTAATTTATAATAAAATAATTTTGAAAAATTGAAAATTTTATGAAAAATAATTGCAATTAAATATTCCTTCTGTTAAATGCATTCAAATTATTTTTAATTGATATACCTGGTATAAAATGAGTAAATCTCTTAGACAATCATAATTTTATTACAATTTTCTAGATAACCCTAGTTAATTATTCTAGTTACCGAATGTTAATTGACTAATATTTTAGTTGCCGAATTTTGCCTTTTAATTTAACGACTAAGATAATCGACTCGGTTAAAAAGATAAATTTGACTTGATATATTTTTTACAAGTTCCGAAAATCAGGTTTACGTTTTTTCCACGTATCACGCGTATCGGTAACCTCGAATATTTTGCATGCTTCCGTGAAAACTCAACCTACTCGTTGCAGTTGGAGTGCATTACAATCAAACACGCGAACTGAACCTTTCGTAAGAATGGCTGAAGTATAATTAGTGTCTCGAAATAAATCGAGAATCATCTGGAAAAATCTCTAGTATATTGTTGCAGTTGCTTCTATCGTATTCGAGATTGATTAATTTTTTATTTTACATATAATTCTAAAATTCGAAATTATTTGATTATTATTTGATTTCAAAGTCACGTAATTTTAAATTTTTAATTGTATGAAAAATTGATTACACTGATGTTGTAAAATTTATTTATAAATTATATAACAAAAATTTCATTACATAATATCACAATCCATCAATGGAAAAAGTAAACTTTCTATTTGTATTGAGAAATTTTATTTCTATAGAGACAGTTTTCTGATAGAAAGATTGAAATTATAAATAAGCATTATAATTATTTATGTATTTTCGTACGAGAAGAATTGTCTATTTATCGTATTGTCGGATTCCATTTGCCTTTTTTCTGCTCAAGATATCTGGTTGTACAACCGATCTGTTGCAAATTTAGATATGACCCAACAGATCGTTGAGTTAAATCATTCAGTTACGACCTAAATTTCTTTTGTACAAGAATAAAAATTCATGTATTCACGTTGGACGAAAAATATTTCAAGATGTTTTCTACATCCATAAATATTTCAAGTATTATAATTATAAATCGTACATGTAACTGTTAGTTTAGAAATTGTACATAAAAAGATACATCGTAAATGTAAATAAAAAAAAAAAGATTATTTCATACGAGTTAATTGTTCTCGAAAAAAAAATTATTAGTTAAAAAAAAATTCTATATTTTCTATTCACTTTTTTACTTTTTTAATTTTCATTTTCTCATTGCATTGAAACGTCCTTCCTTCTTCTTTTTTTTTTTTTCATACTAAAGATATTTGACACATATCGAAGAACTGTATTTTTGTATTGGTAACAATTCGAAGGATTTTTTGAATACTTGTCAAAAATAATTATCATTGGTTTCTCTTTTGCCTCTCTCCGTAAGCCTGGCTTATTATGGGTCGCTCATCTGCTATTGATATCAATAGTACCGCTATCGATCAGGGACACGTGACGAGTAATAAATTCTCAACGTAGTCGTGGTATAACGAACACGTCCATTTTAGAATACGATGATTTTTCATACTTGTCTGTATTAATTAAATCGATATTCGAGAATTGGCTAACTAAATATTGAAAAAGATCTCGATCTCTTCTTCACGTCAAAGAAATCTATTATATTCGTATTAATTCTTTTTAATTTCTCTGAGATATATATTTGCATAATTAGATTTTTTTTTATTCGAAATATAATTTGAATGACAAGGAATGAAGCTTAAGCATGAATGAAATTTAAAATTTTTAATCTTTCTCTCTACGAAGATAGAAATTTACCATGCATATTGATGGTTATCTCGAGATCGATCCAAGATTGTAATAATTATTTATTCCCTTTTTTTCAACTAAAACTTAATATAAAA